TGCAGCCCGATGCACGCAAGCAAATCGCTGTCATACACTTCTCCCACCAGCCGCGAATGCTTCACAGACGCGTGACCGCTGCCAATTGAGAAAGCCAACCTCAGATTAGATTCTTTGACAATGCTGAAGCTGGTTGGTGGGAAACAAGAAGCATGCCTTTCTGTTTCCTGGGTTATTTATTAAAAATGGTTACGTGATGTGTGCTAGGAACGCTTGATCAAGCCGTTCTCGTAAAAGTTGATGAGCGCTTTTTTGGAAATCACCTGCGTGGGGCACAACCACCAACACATCGGAGTCGAGTGAAAAACTAACAAGAGTCAAAGCTTCGAGTGTGCATTTTTTCCAGCGTTGGATTCAGATTGCCGTGGATCAACCCAGCACTCTAGTTTCAACATCAACCCTCGACAGGTCAGTTTGGAAGCTGTTGCGCAACCTACAGGCATTACGCCACTCAGCGCCCCCATCATGTCAAACGGCCGGGTGTTGATCAAGGTTATATTTATATAGAATAGATAATAATAGAATATACATATAGATATGTGATAAACTTAAAAAATAATAGCTACACATATCTGTCTAGATAGATGTGTATATATATATATAAATAAATTATGGATGTATGTTTACATGGGCCCTATTCAACTTTTTTGCAGTTTTTGATCGCAAAGATGGGGGCCCCTCTATGTAGCATCCTGCCATCCCAAAACGACTCAAATCTGACTTTGAGCCAGCTAATGCCAAAAACGCAAGCTTCCAATTGGCCACACAGCGAGGTTTCAATCCTTCTCATCCTTCTTCAGCTCAGCTGCGACAGCACGAGCCTGAGCCCGGACCAAGCGAGCAGCCTTCACCTGGGCGAAATGGAGGTGGACTAACACAGGGGATCTTAGTGATAGTGGAAAAAAGTGTATGATTGGCTCTATCTCTCCCTCTCTCTCTCTCTCTAATATTTTTTTTTTTAAAATATTATGGATACATGTGTTTTTACATACATCTTTGGGTGGAGTGTTTCGAAGTATAATGTATTTTAACCTACATGGGTAAGCTATTGTAAACGTTTGAAATTTGAAATGCGAAGAGTAGCCAGATCAGCACACGTGGCCGCAAAAATGTCCAGATCATCGTCCGCAACATCCTTCGCCCTTAGCCCAGGGACGAAATCAAATGAACATAAAATATGTTCAACACCATTTACATAGATGGGTGAAGTTCGAAGTAAAAAAGAATTGGGAACAACAACATTCTGGAGACATCACCATGGAACTCATCCAAATGTTTCTCCAAATCCTGCTTTTTGGACAAAAGCGGGCCACGCAAAGGGTTGTCCTGGGGCAAGTCGGCGCCAACAGACAAACACTGGGTGAGCTCCCTCTTCAGCTGGTTTCCTTGCGCGCACATTGTGTCACAAAAATACGGGGAAAAATAATGGGGGTAAGCTGACAGGGAAAAATGAAAAGAAGCTCAGTATAACGCTTTGGCATAAGATCTTTCACACAATAGCTCCAAGTTTCGCAGAGCGTTCCGATGTTCAGCGGGGGTCTTGGGCTGCTGCTGTGCCACTGCCTTGGCTTTCGCCTTTGCTTTTGCCTTTGCTTTGGGAATTACCGTGGCCTCACTGGGGGCAGCATTGGCAACATCAACCAAAGCTTTGAGCGTAGGACCATTGCCACACCGGCCACCAGCACCATTGCTAGCAGCATCCACATCAAGACCGCCACCCACCATAGATGCCAAGCACTCACCACTCGTCTCAATGCGCGCAGAGGCCGTCGCACTGATGGTAGTAGATTCACGTTGTGCACTGGATCCCCCAACAGTCGCCCAAAATCGAACAGATTCCGGGTCTTCAGGTGCATCTGCATCAGGAAATGGGGTAGACCTGGAAATGATGCTATCGATCTTGTTCCTTAGATGAAAAACTTGCCACGCATCAAGAAACACAACATATGTGACTAAATCATACTAAATCAAAATATTTGTTGTTCACCCCTTTCTCCAAAAAATACATTTTATGCCATGTAGGCACTGTGAAAAACCACGAGATCGCATTTCTGCGATGGTCAACAGCTCCCGACGGTGTTCCACGGTTCCGGATTCTTCACGGGTCACGGTAAGATGCGTCTCAACTGCTTTGAGATTTTCATGGTTCTCCACAAACTCCCTCAAGAGTTCTTGCTTTTCCTGAAGGCGTGAAACATGAGGTTATACAGTTAGCCCAATGGTCCAGAACCCGTTCCTAAAGAGTTGAAGGTAAAAACATAGCAAATGCCATTTGTATGGGCAAATCTTGCAAAGAATCTTTCCTCCCTCCACTCCAAAGCCGGTGAACATTCGGGAACTTGGCAACCTCAACCTTTTCCATCTTTCGAACCAAGCGTGCGTAAGCAGCCCTGTGGGTGCTACTGTTGGGATCAGCCATGGGTTTGGGATCAGGAGTGAAGGTCACCTTAGCAGGCTTCCGGTTCTCAGATACCTCAGGCTTCACAGGATCAGGCTTCCGGTTCTCGGATACCTCAGGCTTCACAGGATCAGGCTTCCGGTTCTCGGATACCTCAGGCTTCACAGGATCAGGCTTCCGGTTCTCGGATACCTCAGGCTTCATGGCAGGCTTTGACTTGACAGGTTCCTTGGGCACAGAGGGGTGAGTAGGTACTGCAGATCCCACAGACACACGGCCAGGTCTTGACCCCGATGGGGCACCATCCCGAGCCTTCTCCACCTCTTCACACACCCCACCTCCACGCACAGGAAACATAGAGAGCAACTGCGGGGCTAGCACACCAACCACACTGCGCATGGAAGGATCACCAAGGACATGCTGGATATGGGACAATGACTTCACAAAATCTTCCAACTGATCTTCGCCAGGGCGATGAGCTTCAGAAGCCGATGGGCCCAGCCTCAAATATGACCAAGAACCCCCACATACTCATATTTAAATCAAAAGGTGTTGTTTCTGAAATATTAGTATATACCCATACAGTAAATAACCACCTGAACACCCAAACACCCCGAATGCAAAAACACCAAGGGACTCCGTGTCAATATCAGACTCCTTGTCCTTGGCCGAAATATCCACTGCAGATGCTTGCCGCGACAACTTCTGTTGCCCCAGCTGCAGCGTAGAGCAAGACCTTAGATGGAACTAATATGGGGATGAATGGGATGGAGATCAAGCATGTCTTTCGATGGGGAAACAGGTTGCATCAAAAGGCTCAACAAATAAATCTTTTTTGAAGCAAATCATTGGAGGACAAGAGAGACTTAAACTCACCACGATTGTTCTCAACCAGTGGTTCTTCGACACGCTCGGCATGAACAACCTTGCGGCCAGATCGGCCTGGGGTAGGTTTTGCTTTCAACACTTTCTCAAGCTGCTCCTTTGCAAGCTGTGCTGGGTCATCAACGTGGCAAGGTTCCACCACAGGTTCCACGGCCTCGGGGGGTTCCACCATCATCTCCTGGGTTTCCTGTTGGTCAACCGAAACACCAGGCTGGGGAGAGTCTCCGTCATCACTTGCACTATGGGTTGTGGCGAAGACATCCACAGGTTCCTGGTCACTTCCATCAAGGTTGGGATCATCATCAACTTCCATCTCGGGATCCTCCTCCTCACCCTCCTCTTCATAACCCTCATCATCCTCAGTCACATCAGCCGGGAAACTCTCTGGGTAAAGAGTTGGGTCACCAAGCTGGTTGTCAGGTTCCTCGGGAACAAAAGCTGCCACAGACTGCGAAGCTGCGGGGGCTGCGGGAGCTGCGGGAGCTGCGGGAGCTGCTGGGGGTGGGTTTTCCTGTGCGTCCTTCTCTGCTGCTTCCAACTTCTTAACAAACGCCTCACGTCTACAACGTTTCTGGTAGTCTTCCCACCACCGGGACCCACTGGTGTCGGGACCGATCACTGAAAGCAAAACACCCGAAGTTTCAGCAAAAGACAGACCATAGTGTCGCTGAATCAACTCGAAATTGTTCCAAGTGATTTCACATTCTGGGGGCTCGGTCGAACCAGGAGCTGCAGAGGGAGGATCCGATGTAGAAGGGCTAGTCTTCTTGCGCATCCGTTTGGGAGCTGGATCTGCTGATGCTGCCGCTGCTGAACTGGGGGGAGCTGCACGCTTCAGCGCATTCTCAACCATGGTAACTTTCTTCGTTTTGGCCATGGCACCACTAGGGGCGCGGAAAAGGATGGTTTGATCAAAATGATCTAAGTGATAGAACAAACGAAAGTTTTCCCTTTTTTCCATGCCCGAAAAAAAAATATGATTTTCACATTTTCGTGATTTTCGTGATTTTCGTGATTTTCGTGATTTTGATGATTTTCGTGGTTTTCGTGGTTTTCGTGATTTTCGTGGTTTTCGTGGTTTTCCTGGTTTTCGTGGTTTTCGTGGTTTTCGTGGTTTTCGTGGTTTTCATGGTATTGATGATTTTCGTGGTTTTCGTGCTTTTTCAGTTTTCACGTTTTTCACGCGGTTTTCATGGCCTTTCGGCCGTTTCGCACGTCCAATGACACACTTTTTCACGCATCACACTTGGCTAGGTATGGGATATTTCCCAATTTTCGTGATTTTCGTGATTTCACACTGGGGGTGATGCAATCAACCAGAGCCCCATGAAAACATCTAAAGGTCTGGAAAAATATGTTGCTTTGTTATGTTTGGAAAATGGATCCAAACATCACCCAGTGTGCATATATACACATCGCGCATATGATACCATTTTTTGGTGAGGATATGGAATCAAACCCAACTTGCAACCAGCGGTGATCAGAACTTATATGGCCACTGGTGCAAAAGCCCCCAAAGATAGACCGCCGGTCAGGGTAGCGGTCGAAGCTTCAGCTCATAGAGAAGTTGGTCCTGGGATAGCATGCATGGTTATACAAGGTAAGTCATGTAACCACATGTGCCAAATATGTTTGTATATGTTTATGTTTACCCCACAAATTTATGATTACATCAAAGATAGACACCAGAACGTAAATAAACCAAGATTCCCAGCCATTAGGCACTTGCATATATTTTGCACGGGCGAAATACTCCACAGCATCCCATAGGCAAGCCTAAGGCAATTCCACACGACACTAGCTGGCGAACTTGGGGAAAATCTATTCTTGTGTGATTTGTTGGGTATCCCGATTGCCAAAAAATACATTTTATACCAGGCACATCTTTCCATGGGTCGCCGATGGGAAGGCAGAACCTCCTAAACAGCTCCAAGTCTGTGAGGTCAGTGGGAAAGCTTTCATCCAAATGCACATTCATCGGAACCGGGACCTCAATGCAGCGGCGAAGGGATCACCAGGGTTGCTCGAAACCATTTTCGAGATATATATATTTTTTTTTTTATACATGTGTGATTTTTGGTTAAAGGGGGTATGGAAAGATCACTCAAATATATGTTCACCGGGAAGTTTTTCTTTCACAGTCGGCCACACAGGGGATCAATTTGTAATTCCAATTCTTTGGGAAATTCGGACAGAAGTAAATCTATGCCTTGTATGGGTGTCTAAGATTGAATCCCAAATGGTCAATATATACATATAAATAAATAAATATATATCTATATATGTATATATCCACAACTTGGCTCGGCTTTCAGGGCCATGCATAACCATAGATTTCGCCAGGGATAAATATATGTGGACTCCAAAGACGAAAATGTGACCCCCACCGGCAGGGACTATAAGATTTGGATTTGTATCCATAGAAGGGGACATATCGACGGTTCGAATGGCATCTCTGAAATGAACTTTGTTGGAACACCCTATGGTTCTAGTATTGTGAAATAAGGATGCAACAGACAGGTTTGCAAGAATTCCGGGGCAACGTGTGAAGTTGCTATTTAGATTTATGGGTAGGTTTTTGATCTACATGAACAGCTGAGATGATCTTTTATATGTTGAAATACATACATATATATATATGTATACATTCAAATATGTGTGCACACATTGAAACTATATGTTTGTATATTTACATATGTACATATGATTCTGTATACGAATGCACAATTGTATAAACATATGTGAAAAGTAGATACAGGTAACTATGGGAAGAAATCTGTCATGCTTTTGCAAATATAAATGTATATGCACTGGCAGTGCATGTGCATATGCAACGCACATTTGGGTGAATTGTGCAAACCGAGAGAGAGAGATATATATATATACACATACGGTTATCTTGTACATATGTGTATATTTGTATATATATATATATATGTGTGTGTATCTTTTTTCTATGTATATATGGGCTTTTGCCTGTATGTGAGTATTTGTAAATATGTGTATCTACTTTTTCTATGAATATACGGGCTTATACCTGTACGTGCGCATTTGTGTAAGATATGCATTTCTTGAATGCACATATGTTTAGTCATATATATATACATCTGCATATGTTGTATAACAGACAACCCTGGGTGATATTCACCACCCGGTCCCAGGTACAGCTTCCATCTCCACAGCAATTGATGCAATGAAGTCACCAAAGGCAGGGGGATAATTCCTTGGGTGGCAGGTCGTATGCTAGCTCAACAACATTTGTTGGCACACGCCATATATTGAAGAAAGTTTGAAAAAAGGAAAAAACGATTGATGTTTGACCAGGTACGCTGATTCCTTCAATTCCTTCTTGAGTCCAGTACAACGACGCTTCCCGTTTTTGTCTAGGTAACGATGTACCAACTTTGTATCGCATTTGGCTTGGTCCACCCTTGACATGAACCCAGCTTTGTCGTGAATCTTCTCTAGGAAAGCTGGATCATTCGACAGCAGCCTGTGCTTCTTAGGGCTACCTGATCCAAACACCCCCATGTACATCGTTGTTGCAAAGACCTGGAACAGGGAAAGATTCACAGGACAACAAACCGATTGATTTAAGCAATGTTATCAAACTACGTTTCTACCCACAAAAAATCTTGCAGGGTTGGTGTTGGGCCTGGCCTTTAACACTCCAAAGAGCCACTGATAACGTGGCAGCTGTGGTAAGAACGTCCCCTCTGGCTGCTCAATCACCCAACGGAGCCCACAAAAGGAGCAAAGGAATGCAAGTAATGCAGTTCTCGCACTCAAGATATTTCCGATTTTTACAAATAGGTACCCTTGATTGCCGAGTGGAGACAAGTAGGTGCGTCCACTCGTATGGCGCGACCTAAGCGATCCAGCAAAGTATATTCAACTGCAATGTTTTTCGGCAACATTAACCTGTGATGACCGTGCAGGCAATGGTTTGGATCATTGTTAACCAAAATACATGAGAACATCATGGATCATGATTTCACTATAAGTTTTACCTCATCGACTATGCCATCAACATGCCCACTGGCTGTGAAATGTAAATTGTAAACCATCGGCAACAGCCGTTTCCAGCAAAGGGGCATACGGGACAAACTGCGGCAATCTGGCGCCATAAGCACTGTGCTGCCAGGCTTGCACCGGAGGATCTCATTCAGCACCAACCTCAAGTTTGACAGATACAGGCCATCCACCGAGACAGAATATGCAACAAACATTTTGTTTTGGTTTGTGAAAATGTGGAAAGGAAAGATTGTGAAAGAACAATTGGTAGAACAGCCAGCAATCACCTGGTCACACCATTTTTTTCCCTTTCCATGGATATATTTCAGCACACATTGCCACATATTGCAACCACGGTGCCCAAAAGCGGAGGGACGGGTCAAATCGAAAGCAACCTCATCCAGACATAAATCAATTGAGGTGCCACGTCGACCGACCTTGGCACAGGCCATGACAGTCAAAAATGGTGGTTGGTGGGAGTTTGACTTGGGACATATACATATATATATATATACATAAATAAATAAATAATATCATATAGATAGATTTGTATATATATATATATTTCTTTATTTATTTGGGGTCAAGGCCACAACACTAAACAGAATAGTTAGGCAAGATATAGTACGTCAGATATGGACCCACTTCCAAACCCAAATCACCAAACCAAAACCCCAGATTGAAGACAGGCTGCATCCCTGAAAGCACGAGAAACTTCTCCAACACCACTGAACACTTCCACAAATTGCCGGTCCTTAGCTGTGGGCCATATGCACATTGGGAAGAACGTGACATTGACAAACCATGAAAATAAATACATAGAATGAACAAGAAGTTAACTGAATACCAAGTAAGCTTCAATGGTGTGGGGGATTTGCTGGTTCCATTGTATCAGCAGCAGTAATAAGATCAGTGGGTTGGGCGCACGCCATCGCAAGAGTTCTAGGACACCCATGATACCAACTGCATGTGAACACCAATCTCAGGGCCAAAGCTTGCTGTGAAAATACCAGTATTCAAACACAGGAACCCTACATCAAACAAGTTTGCACCATAGACTGCACGACTTCATATGTTGCAACTGAATGTAAAAACATGTGGATGCTGAGATTTGTTCCTCTCATGTTCGCACAGGCATCCCCCTGCCCATGATCAGGACTAAGATGGAAATTCCAAATTGGACTTCAGGTGAGTCTAATCTAATCAGCCCAAGGGTTTGTCTTACAATCCCTTGGGATAAACTTCCTACGTTTCAGCTCTTTCACTGACACGTCTTTCAAGTAGAGGCGTTTTTCATCAGAATCATCCCAAGATTTTTTCGCATCTTTGAAGGAGAGACCCTTGGCCTTCTGGTTTTTCATGTAGGCACAGCGAACCCCAGCAAAGTCCCATGGATCACCATTAGGATGCAATTCCTGGGTCTTGCGCTTTGCAGCAGGAACTGGCTTCTCCTCATCCTCAGGCTCTTCATCATCCTGGCCTGCAGCAGCTCGGGCTGTAGTGATGGCAGGGACGTATTTGTCCTTGAGGGCGAACGGTTTGGACTCAACTGTGAACTTTCCCATGGTTTTCAAAACCTGAGGGCTCATTCGGACAATGCCGCAATAAAAAACATGTTTGGGGTTCATAGGAATGACACACCATGTACAGAATACCACAAGTCTTTGTTGACAAATACCAAGAAACATGGTCGGGCAAAAGATATGGGTTTGGTACTGTCGTGTCACCATCATCAGCTGTGGGCTTGGTAGCCTGGGACTCAAGACGTTTTTCCTTAGCAGCCTTCAAAATCCTGGCAATCCGTTCTGTTCTGGATTCCCCATTGCATGGTTCTTTTTGGTGATGGTCTCCAGGATTTACATCAGATCCACCGGTGGAAACAACATGAGTTGTCTTGTTGGCACTCCCAGCACTGGACTTGGTTTCAGGGCATGGTTCTGCCTGAGCAATCTTGAATTTTTTGAGTTGTTCAATGACCCGCCCAAGCTTGTCACTGGCTGCGCTAGACACCCCGGAAGACACACAGCTGCTTGAATCAGGTGAGCATGTGCTGACTCCACTCAACTCTTCGATGTCGGTCGGGACACCCTTGGACTTGGGCGTGAACTTCGGGTCCTGGGCATGCCAGGATTAGGGTTTGTGGCTTCCAACATGCATCCCCAAAACCAAAACATTCAAAACCCACACCAATTTCATGTAGTTTTTCTTGAAAATAGAAACATAATTCCTTGAAAGTATCGATATCCTCTTCATCACTATCATCGTCATCCTCTTCATCACATTTTGAGCACCAGCCACAGTCTTTGGCCTTCTGTTTGATCTCAGTGAGCTTGTTATACTTGGACGAAGGTGCCCGGCGGAGCAAACGTCGAAACCTTGAAACCTCACACAAACAAAAACGGGCCAAACTAAGAACCCATGCATATGACAATAACAAAAGCTTGGGGGTTACATCTTTCAACAAAAGTTGGGATTTAAAATGATGTAGGAAAGTAACCAGTTTTTTGATCGCCACCGCATACTTCAACGCCCAGCTCTGGACAGCTGGTATATCAGCGTACACCCCCATGGGGAATAGCTTGAACTGCGTGAAAAACTCAAGCAGGGCCTTCTGCAAAACATATGCAGAGACCCTTGATTTTCCATTGGCACCCTTGATGGTTGCAAGTAGAACCTCCACAGCCAGGGCTCCAATTCCCCACAATATAAAACTAAGTTATCGCCACCAAATCTAATCAGAGTTTTGGGTTGGTTATGATCCCAAACCTTTCGAAGTATTTAAACTCATACATGGATGGAACCCATTCTTTAAAATTTATGAATTGTTTCCCTCATTTCGTTGGGTTGCACCAAAATTTCATGGCCATCCCAAACCTCCTGGTTGACAATGATGCCTTTGATGGTGCACTTCTGGCGCGTGAACAGCTTTCCAGAGTGATCTACCAGCACTGTCAACCCAACCTGGGCAAAAGGACAATGATTTGCTTTGTTGTTTTCCGATAAAACTAAAAATTGCACAGAAATTTGGCAACCTAGGGGCTTCTCTCAGCCGCGGGGTTGATGCGAAAGCATCCACAAAGGGGCGAGATAGGGACTCTGCGCTAAAATCCATGGGGCCTGGAGCCATTTGATCCTAAAAACCTCTCTGAAGATTACAGGAAAACATTGAACTCCATCCAGTTGGAACCTCTGGGCAGCAGCAACCCGTGCACGGCCAAGGTTGGACGCACCTCTGACGTAGAATTGAGCCTGGCGTGCGATGTGCCACATGGGCCGGCAGGGGTGGTTGGAAGGTAGCATCACGAAACGTGTTTACTTGATTTCAAGTTGAACGCACCAGTTTGAAAATCCAATGAGACTTCTAAATTGGGATTAATCTTGAATCCTAGTCCAAATTTCAAAAACCATATGTATAACAGACCAATCCGTGCATAAAGCCATGCCAGTGGCACCATGTCAGCGGATCGTTTCACGAATCACCGCAAGCACCTGGCAGCTGTGAAGACGGTGAAACTTATCAATGGTGATCTTATCCAGCAATCACGTGGATGATATGTTGTTGTTGTTGTTGTTGTTGTTGTTGTTGTTGTTGTTGTTGTTGTTCACTGCGAATCCACTGCGTATCCATTCTGTTTCACTGCGTCAAGTTTCGAAACCAAATCCGACTGAAAATTCAGTTCGGCAAAAGCACCTGGCCCGAGTTCGGCCTTTGGCCCATTGCACCATGCAGAGGAGCGAAGCAATTCCCCAAAACTGGATATCCTTTAGAAATTTCGAACGAAGAAATTTTGATGGTTTAAGGGTTGTAATGCCAAAAAAACGTTAACATCATGAAAACGTTGATTTGCTGGTGAATTCAACAGATCGAAAGGTAAGCCGGTAGATGACCTATTTTGTCACCACGGGACCTACAGGCCACAGGCCCCTCACCCCAAGGGCCACGGCTGCAGTCGGCCGTTCGCTTTTCTTTAGTGTATCGTTCACGGCAAAATGATGAAAACAGAAGCGCAACCCGCAGAAGTGGGACAAAAAAAAAATCCACCGAAAGCACAATGTCTCCACAAACCAGTTTTCGAACAAGTAGTCATGTACTATCAGATCATGTTGCATATATATATATGTATGTATATATATATGTATATATATATAGATAGATAGATAGATAGATAGATATAGATAGATAGATAGATAGATAGATAGATAGATAGATAGATAGATAGATAGATAGATAGATAGATAGATAGATAGATAGAGATAGATAGATAGATAGATAGATAAATCAATAAATAAATAAAAAAATATATATATATATAAATAATATGACATACATATCATACCTATGTGCAAAATCCCAGAAAGTATATCCACAATGGTACACCACAAAATATTTGGCAAAACGATATTTACCCATATGCAATATTCATGTACCATATTGTGGGGTTTTGTTTTTCTTTTTCGCACGAAAAGTCTACGCCAGCAGCTGAAAACCTAATGCCGGCAGTGCTGCATGTGTCAAAGTGCAATAGTACACTTGGCTCAAGCAATGGCGTGCTGATAGATCAATGTTTTCACGCAGCAAAGTTACCTTTTCACAGCTTTCACAAGTTTTCACGGTCGTTTTTCCATTTTCACGGCCTGCTACTGTTTTCACGGCCAAACCGCTTTTTCGAAGCCAGATGGTCCATTTGGCCTTCGGCCTCCCTTTATGGGATCAAATGCACCCCTAGGCCTTCTTCTTCTGTCCCAGCGACTGCATTCACCTGTTCCTGCAGAAGTTTTCTCAGATTCCCGTGCTGGTAGCGGAGCTCATTCACATACTCCTCTACTTCCGTCTTTTCGATCTCCCCCCAACCTTCAAGTTGAGTTCCATCCACAAGAGACTCCCCCCCAGCTCGTAAGGCCATGAGAGCTGGCAATCCCAATTCTGCCTCAGGTGGAACCAACTCAGAGTCAGACAAGATAGAGGGCTCATACCCATCTTCTTCCTCAGCGTCGGCCACAGCCAACAAGGACTCAAGTTCACGGTCCTCCCGAGGAGGTGGTAAAGGGATCTTGGAAACCTCCACAACCAGTGGCTGCTTCCCGTTGAGACGTCTTTTGGGAGGATCCTTGGGATCATCGACCGTTTCCAGCTCCAAACGAGCTGTTTCTCCAAGAGGATCAGGAATGAACACGGACCGTGCGTGCTGCACAAGGTTGGCTTCTTCATCAGGAGCAACCCAACCGTTAGTCATCTGAGGTGAAGGGCCCATAATTCGAAGCGTCTTGTAAGGGGATGACAACGCCCCTTCTTTTCGACGATGCCACAGTTTGGCCTTAACCTGAGCCAACACAGCAAAGGGTGGCATCTCCTTACACTTGGCCCCCAACTTTCTCATTTGGGCACGCAATCGTTCCTCGACTCCGTGTCGGGCCGCGCATGGCCAGTAGTCATGACTCACTCCCGTTTCTGCCAACAAAAGGCGAAGTCGACGCTTGAATTGGTTGATTTCCCCTTCAATTCGTCCATTGGCTTCAGGCTCATCGCCTGCATTGAAAGTTTGATGGACCTGGCGCATTTCGCACCACTTGGCCACGTGATTGGTTGTGAAAGATCGCTCCCGATCAGAGTGCACACGGTAAATGGGTATGCCAAGGCTCTTCGCCCGGGCATGCACTTTGGACAGTGCCTTTGTAATTTCATTCTGGTGACGAGACGCAAGTGGCTCCATGAAGGTGATGTTCACCACTGGAACATCCTTGGATATCTCCTTGACTTCCCTTTTGACGAACTCTTCCCAAGCCTGGTTTCTCTTCCGGGCTTCTTCCTCTGGGATCAGATCCCTGGGCTCTGGAGCCAAAAGAAGCTCCCCGGAGGCTTCCACTTCCTCAGCTTCGGGAACAACTTCTTCCTTTTGAGGTTCCACCGCCTCCGTGGAATCCTCCTTCTCCCCCGGACTTGGCCACTGAGGCACAGGGATAGTCGCCAGCAAGGCATACTTTACCTTTCTGCGTTTGGAGACACCAAGGTCGGTGCCCTTTTTGAACGGACCACAGATGTCTACAGACATCACAAAGGCGGATTCTTGACCCCTCTTTCGGCGATGTGGCTCAGCCGAGCCCATGGTTTCCAAACAGACCTTACAGTCCCGCCGGTATGGCACGTGTTGTGCCTGCAGATGCTTCTTCCATCCCGCTAAGTCCAACTTGCTCAGCATCGGTTGCTGAGCCTGGCTCGCCAGAAATTTGGGTATCACAATCTTGAGAGCAGCCATCAGACCTGGAGCCCATGCAGACCAAGAAGCCGTCTGCTTCAGCCGCTCCCGGAGATCCATGCACACACTCTCTCCAGATTCCTTCGAGGTAATCCCATCAAGTTCCTTCAGCTGGACTATGTTGGTCAGAAGCGTTGTGGGTTTGGGGCGTGGGTGCCCTAGAGCCCCTTGATCCACCCTGACCTTGAACATATCTGGGTTTCGTTTCAAGAAATCCTCTGTTTCCTCCCATTCCCAGAAGGACGGATACTCTTTCCCATCTTCCACATACTCGCATGGATCTTGGGGACTTTCCACCAGAAGACCACACTGACCCAGAATGCCATTCGCCACCATTCCCTCTTGAGATTTCTCATAGAGACCAAGAGTTTTCAACCACAGGGCGGTATCTCCATCCACCTTTGTCATTTCTCTTTCCGTTAGCTCATCCAAAGCGAATCTGTGATTCTTTCTGCCACGCAAAGGGCGAGGACCTGGGATCTTATGCCTAAGACGACTCACTGTCCTGCATGGCGGTCCGGCGGTTATCATCCGGATCCGGCCCCTTTCAGCCAATCCCCACAGATACGCCCACACCCCAGCGGCGTGTAGATCTTCTTGAGCGTTCGATGAGATGTCAACGGTCAGCACCTCGGTGTCTGATCCCGTGAGATCCCGCCATCTCCTGGATTCTCCCCCGGACCCAGAGAAAAGATGGATCACCACACCACCTCGAGCTCTTTCCAACCTCCTCCGCTTTGCCCTATTCCAAGGCAAAGGGGAGGCAATTTCTTCCCAGTTCAGCCCTTGGCCCCTCATCAAAGACCAGATTCTCTCAGGGACCTGTGGATACTTCTCCTTCCACCATTCGATCTCCTGAGCCGGTGGCTCACAGTAGTCTCCCACTCCACCATTCTCAAGTGACTCCAAGAGACTCAAGGCTTCACTTCTGTCCATCACTGGACACCCTTGGCGTCTGACACACTGCAGGTTCCCATGTTTCGGGTGTGAGATGTCACAGCGATCCTTCTGCCAGTCGATCTTGAATCCGTGATCTACTAGCAGCCGCAATGGAATTATGGGTTCCACGTTATCCAGTGCCAACAGCGTATTGTGCGCTGCGCACCGATAGAGCGTGACACTTCCCATCGCCATTTCAACTTGGACTGGCCAAAGATGCGGAACTTCGGAGCTCTTCGCCTGTCGCAAAGCGTGAGTCGCCCCCCCATCTAGCAAGGCGTACTCTCCTCCGCACTCCTCGTCCATTTTCACCGTCTTGATGAATACCGATTTGATCGACGTCATGGACTTAACCAGACCGTTGAGGTTCTGCACCAAGTCACCTTCCTGCTTGGGCTGGGAACCCTCAGATCTTTTTTCCGGTTGCGGATTTTCCTCCGCTGCCTCCTTCACTACTGTTGACTCTTTTTGGCTCTCCTTTTCAGTGCTCTTCTCCCCTTTCTTATTGAGGACCTTAGCGACCTTCCGGTCACCTTTCTGTGTCCAGCCATTTCCATCTTTAGGCTTGGCTGTGGGACAATCCCTTTTACGGTGGCCTGTTGATGAGCAAAACAAGCACCTTGAGGATTTCTCCAACGTTCCCCAGGCGTGTGCGAAACCGCACTTCTCACCCCTGCGACACCCTTCGTCAGTGCCCCAGAAACGACACGGCGCTTTCTCACCTTCTGGCCTCTCCCATGGCTTCTGCCCTTCCCCCGTGAAGGCCTTGACAGCCGGATTCCCCTGCGTCAGCACCGGAGCCAACGCAGGCGGATTCGACGGCGTCGCCTTCCCAGCAGTCTGCGCATTAGCCAACTCTTCCAGCTCAGCTTGGATGTACTCGGCCCATTCCTTGACCGAACCAAGGCTTGGAGCTCTATCTACGTCCAGCTGTTGGCGCATGGTCGCCAAGCGGAACGCCACCTGACTTCCACCCAATCTTGAAGCTCCGTCAGCGAACTTCGACAACACACCTGTCAGAACCAGAGGATCCACTGTTACACTCAGCTCCTCCGACCTTCCCACTGATCGGCGCCATTGCCGAACGGACCCCAGCAGTTCCACCAAACCTGCTGGCACCTTGGCCTCGCTGATGGACTTGATCAATCCTGTCCTTTCACCCGAACCACCAGGTTGAAAGGTGGTAAACAATCGGAACAGAATCCCGACCGTCGAGAGACGCCGCGATGCTATGACGTCCTGTCGCAAACCTTCTGGCAAAGCAGCTAGCAACATAGATACTGACCGCTGTTCCAGTCTTGCGTAGCCTTCACCGATCACTGGTGATCCTGGTTTCATGCGCAGCTTCTCCAGCGGCGTGGCAACCAGCCACTGCTGATAGTGGTGTTCCACAGTTTTCACTGTCAGACTCCACCATTCTCCAGCACTTCCAGAAAGATCACTCATCAGTGGATGCACCACAGTCATCCAATCCCCGAACTGGATGGACGCACCTTCACTTCCCGGTGTGGGAAGCTTTGGTAGCTCCAGGGCCCTCAAAGCCTCAGTCAGAGATGGTCCCGGCTGAGCTAGCCCAGCTTGATTCCTTCCTTGGAATCCCGGATCAATCCCTGGAGGTGGGGACGGCATTCCACCGACTCCTCCCAACGGCTGAGAAGTTCCCAAGGCCTGGCCAACCACGGCCTGTCCCTGTCCAGCTCCACTGGATGCTGACTGGTACGATTGGGTTTCCTCGGTCTGACCTTGAAGCCTTCTCACCTCCTTGGCGAAAGCTTCCTCTGCCTCCCGCATCACCCGCTTTCTGATCTCCTCAACTGCCATCGCAGCTGGGTCCATCATCATCTGAGTCCCTCCCGATGGATCTGTTCCAACAGGAGCTGGGTTCCCCCCTCCAGCCAATGCCTGCATGGGAACCGGGCTCACCATTTGCATGGGAACCGGGCTCACCATGGGTACTGACTGCAGGTCTCGAGGTTCTCGGACTGGAGTCACCATCACTCCTAATCCCTGAGCTGGTTGGCTACCTGAAGGATGAAACACTGGCGGGTGTGGACTCGCGGCTGATCCCATCTGTTGCTGCTGCGGCAGCTGAAAAGCTACCAACGGCGGCAAAGGCTCAGCCAAAGGTCCCAACATAGCACCGCCCACATGCCCTCCACTCGGACAGCCACCACCTTGGTCATTGATCCCCTGACCACTGCGTTGATGTAGTTCAGCATGAAGACCTTGTAGAGGAAGGACACCAGGAGGACCACCTTGAGGTACACAAGAACGGACTTGAGCTCCAGGAAAAAGTGTCCCCAAAGCTTGCAGTTGGTTACCCACCGCACCAGCCACATCTTGCGCCACACCCCGAAGAAGCGGTCCTACCACCATTGTCGATCTCCCACCACCCGGCAATTCCTGCTGAGCTGCCACCGGAGGAGCTTCAGGCCCTAAAGCTTGTGGCAAACCAGCAGGCCTCGCCACCTCACCTTCTCGACCTTGAGCTCGTCCATCTCCCTCTGCTCCAGCCTGAATTTCCAACCTCCGCACACCACCTTCCATCCTCCTAGGAGCAGACAGAGCTCTTCTTCTCTCTCCCTCCTCTTGAGTCTGGGCGATCATGCGGTCCAAGGCTTCATCGGCTGACTCACCACTCATCCCTCCACGTCGACGCTGCAGCAATGACATGGCCACGCAGCAGAGCGCCTCTTTGGGCTCGTAACCTTTGGGGGTTAAAAGTGGTCACCTGCAGCACCCCATAGGCTGCAGCACGGATTTTTCTTGAGCCATCAGAAGTAGCGGAGCGTTTAGCCATGTACATTTCATCCTTAGTGCAGGGGCCATGCTTGTAAAAACGAAGCTCACCCTTCTACACCTTGGACCTTGGCATACCAGCAACTGTACATCCTAGAGGTTAGAGTGTTCCATGAATCACAATAATATATATCTTTGTTTTTTTTACAATGCGTATCATACATATCTTTGTTTTTTATACATCATTGTTTTACAATATACATATTATATATATATTGTTTTTTTTTATACAATGGGTATCATACATATCTTTGTTGTTTATACATCATTGTTTTACAATATACATATTATATATATATATCTTTGTTTTTTTTACAATGGGTATCATAAATATCTTTTTTTTAAACATCATTGTTTTACAATATACATATTATATATATATCTCTCTCTTTGTTTTTTATACAATGGGTATCATACATATCTTTGTTTTTTATACATCATTGTTTTACAATATACATATTATATATATATATTTGTTTTTTTAACAATGGGTATCATACATATCTTTGTTGTTTATACATCATTGTTTTACAATATACATATTATATATATATCCTTGTTTTTTTTTATACAATGGGTATCATACATATCTTTGTTGTTTATACATCATTGTTTTACAATATACATATTATATATATATATATCTTTGTTTTTTATACAATGGGTATCATACATATCTTTGTTTTTTTATACATCATTGTTTTACAATATACATACTATATATATATATTTTATACAATGGGTATCATACATATCTTTGTTTTTTTTAATACATCATTGTTTTACAATATACATATTATATATATATATCTTTGTTTTTTTAAACAATGGGCATCATACATATCTTTGTTGTTTATACATCATTGTTTTACAATATACATATTATATATATATATATCTTTGTTTTTTTTAAACAATGGGCATCATACATATCTTTGTTGTTTATACATCATTGTTTCACAATATACATATTATATATATATACATATTTGTTGTTTATACAATGGGTATCATACATATCTTTGTTTTTTATACATCATTGTTTTACAATATACATATTATATATATATATATATCCTTGTTTTTTTTTATACAATGGGTATCATACATATCTTTGTTTGTTTTACAATATACATATTATATATATATATATATCTTTGTTTTTTTTACAATGCGTATCATACATATCTTTGTTTTTTAAACATCATTGTTTTACAATATACATATTATATATATGTATATATCTTTGTTTTTTTTATACAATGGGTATCATACATATCTTTTTTTATACATCATTTTTTTACAATATACATATATATTATATATATCTTTGTTTTTTATACAATGGGTATCATACACATCTTTGGTTTTTATAGATCATTGTTTTACTAGTTTGAGGATTACCTGAGAACTCGATCCCAGGGGACTTACCCGTCAAGGTGTGTACTCATCCGAGTGTTCCTCGGGTAGGTTCACACGAATGAGATCATCATCATTGCAGGACTTGCTAGTCAAAGCTATTATATAACATTTTTTCTAAGCAGGAGGATCCTTCACTTCAAGTAAAAAGATCAATCCAGTGATGTCTAAACAAACACCACAGGTACATCCAATCCAGCGAGCTTCGTCAAACGCAAAGCCTAAGTTTGATGATTCATCATCACTTAATTAAATTGGTAATTTTGAGGTAGACCTGCCTTATGTTCACACAGAGTCATATATAGACAATGCCAATACGGGGGTTTCCGTAAATGAAGGTACCCCCAAATGATGGTTTATAATGGAACGTACCATTTAAAATGGGTGATTTGGGGGTACCCCTATTTCAGGAAACCTCGATATCATCCTCATGTCCCCAAACTCATAGTTGCCTGCACTCAAACCAGACCAGCCAAGGGACGGATAGTGCACCGCAATGACTGTGTCTCCGGGCAAAGATCCTGGGTGGCCACGTCCAGTCACACAAAGACATGAGACCAAAAAATGATGAGGCAAAACCACACATGAAATTGACCCAAGGATTTTTGCTTACTGATCTGTCTATGGTAGCTTGTTTAGCAGCTTCTAGTGGCAAACCGCACATGTTATTTTTGTTGTATTTTGGGTAAAAACGTTTAGAATAAAGGAGTGGAGTGTAGTTGGGAGTAGGTTCCACTAATGTGGTTATATTATACGTTAACCATAGTTTCCGCCCTTGTGGCAATCATTTACCTGAAATAGGTTGGAGCAACCCCAGTCATAGTGTCCACAAGCATCCACAAACCCGATACCATATAGCCTCAGTAATATATAAGTTTGATTATAATCCCATTACCTATATAGTTAAAAGTTATACGTATATGTGGCACCAATTTAGCTATCTTTGGGGGACCCAGTTTGTAACTACAATATATTTAGAATCCCTATAATCCATGGTTAAACGATAACCTATAACCATACTTGGTGGCTCATTCCACTTAATTAGTAAGTAGGTCATAACCCAAATTATAGGTTTATTGACCCTACTTATCCTGCTAAAACAACTAGGGCTACAACCTACTTACGATCCGTGGGAGCCATCAAGACCCCCAACTTCTGTGTTTCAATCCCACTGCTTTGCAGAGTTATAGCCCTTGACATTTATAACTGGGAGTATTTCATGATATATCACCAAATTATAAGAGTTAAAGGCCAGGGCCATGTTTTGCAACCAGTAAGTAAGCCTATCCCACTGTTACTTAAAATCCCATTGAACTCAACCTTTCTTCATCATATTAAGCCATATTCAGCCATGTTAAGCCATATTAATCCATGTTAACCCATGTTAGCCATGTTTGTAATGTTAAAAACCCATGGGTAGATCATTAAGCCATATTAAGCCATGTTAACCCATTGATCACCCACCGGATTTCCAGCCGTTTTCAGATCGGCGTCGCTTCAGCGCCCAGCGCAAGGCCGTCTCGGAGGTGTAGAACTTCTCCAGGGAGATGGCCACCCAGCGCACGCAGCCTGGGACGCTAGTGGAGCAGCGAATCTTTTCCGATCTCAGAGGCTCAGTCATAGCCATAACAATGGGGTTTGGTTTTATGACTACAATCACTACTGAATCACTACAATCACTAGAGTTCATAAAGGTTCATAATTACAATCACTTGGGTTTATAACTAGTACGCTTGGCTCATAGCTACAATAAGATTTGGGTTTATTGGGTTTATAGAAGATACATTGAACTATATAGTTAGACAGGATAAATCACCCACTTATCGAAAGAAATTTAGAAGTCAAACTTCCGACAATATGGATAGATGGAAAAGCAGATGTGATGTTAATGGTCCAGGCCTTTCGGCACGGGTGATCAGGGACAATTAAAAAGGCGGGGTTTCAGACAGCGGCTGCCCACACATGCACCTAATCAAGTTTGGGGCGACCTACGCCGCCCCGCTCCAAATAAAGAGCAGGTGGGTGTGGGCAACTGCGATTGTGCCCCACAGCAAGCGTGCCTGCAGCCCACCCATCACATGTGCCCACCATTGTTGAAATTGCCCGGTGAAAGAACAAAAGATCATCAAGAGTAACAACAGCAATAGCAAGGTAGTGGCCAATCAAGAACGTAGTGTAGATCATTTCAGCAAGAGAAGCAGAAGCAAAGAAGTTGCTCACAATTGCACCAGTACCAGTGTGCATCGCAAAAAGATACACCAACAACTCCATACACACAAAGTAGATCGAAGCCACGGTGAGGCGAATGATGTCCAGCGTCTCCGCGAACGGCTGAATTTGTCGATCGCTCGCCGCCCAGGAATTGGTGACATAGTGAAACTCAGAGAAACGACTCAGTCGAACCTCAAAAGCGATGAATCTGCACAAAGTTTAGAAAGGGGCATACCCATTGTAAAAGGACAACGTTCCTGCCACCGTCGGCAAAGTGCCATATGCTATGAGCGCCGCTAATGTTCCCTTGACCCTGCACTGCCACGCCCTGGCCCACTGCCGTCTCGACTGCGTCGGTGCAGCCGTGCCCGGTCGTGCCCTAGAGACAGATGCCACAGGTTATTACTGGCTTACTATGGGTTGATGTATGGGTTATTAATGGGTTAAAATATGGCTTAATATGGCTCAACATGGCTTAATGTATGGGTTCTTACTGGCTGACTATGGGTTAATGTCTGTATGGGTTATTAATGGGATAAAATATGGCTTACTATGGCTCAATGTGGTCAATGTATGGGTTATTGCTGGCTTAAAATGGGTTAATGTATGGGTTATGAACGGGTTAATAAATCTTAATATGGCCTAATATGTGTGTAACGTATGGGTTCTTACTAGCTTAATATGGGTTAATGTATGGGTTAATATTTATATGGGTTTTAAAATGGGATAATGGTGAATAATGGTTAAGTTCAATGGGATTCTAATAGACATTTACTGGGACGTGATGGGGATCGGATAATTTATTGGGACATGTTCATGGGACTTTAATGGGACTTAATGCGATTTAAACGGGATAAATTTCTATTCGGTACAGTTTTGGCGCTTTACCAGTTATGGCTCAGCTATAACCTCATTTTTGGATATTTATGGAATGATAACCCCATGTGTTACCATGTCTTACTGTGAAACAATCCCCATAAGTTGGAGATGGAGTCCCAACTCCACTTATGACTGGAACTGCACTTCCAAGCCACACTGTTGCTGGTAATTTTAGACAGTTGATTTAGTTAGTTTATGACCAACCTGACCAGAAAAAAGTTGGTGTTTGAGCAAGAGAACTGGAAAATCGGCAACAAATCTGTGAATCTAAGCAACAAATAGCACGTGCTTTATACACCCATACAAGGTGCCCCATGAATGCTGAGTTGGAGTGTTTATAACTCCATAATTTCACTATGGTTTAAAGCTATTCAATCACATATTTAAAGATATCTATAGATATTTAAACATATTTAACAGTGATTTACAGACATTTATAGGGGATACGAACTATTCATGAGGCTTTATTGTAGGGGATTAAACAAAAAAACACAGGCCACGCCTGTGCTGTTGCCTTCAGATTTGGCCTTCTCGGCCTGGAATGATAGGAAAACCATGGGAAAACCATAGGAAAACCATAGGAAAATTGTGATTTAACCAAGCAACATGGGGAGATTAATTGGAATGTTTGGATGATTTATGATAGCCAAGTTGGTGCCAATAACCGCTATTAAGACATGCTGAGTAATTCGATATATATATATATATAGTCATCCTGGAGTGGATAGAATATCGGACATTTTCAAAAATGATTTTCAAAAATAACAATCAATAGTTGGAATATTTTCGAAACCCTCAGTTTTTACACGTTTTTCGTCTTTGTTAAGTCATTTTTAGCCAGTTTTGGACACGGGTCTGGATAAATTTTGAAAAATACAAAAATCAAACAACACCAAAAAGTAGATAGAATATTGTTTCAAACCAGGTAGATAGAATATTTTGAGGGAATTGTGAACACCACGCGCAGACCCCACAGCAGCTTAAGACCCTGCAAACCATATTCCAACTACCAGTTTTCGACCTCCCCCGAAATATTCCAACTACCTATTTATTTTTAAGTGGCCGACATCCAACATAATTCCAACATAAATCCCGCACCCTCCAAAAAAATATTCTATCTACTTTAGGATGACTATGTATGTATACACCCTTTTTTAACCATAGTTATTGGAGTTATTGGCACCAACCTAGCCATCATACACCATCCAGAAATCCCATTCATATCTCAATTTTTGTTGGTTAAATCACAATTTTCTTACCGGTGTTCCTATGGTTTTAGAAGGCCCCAATTTGGCATCGCTCGGAAAACTCACCCGCCTGAGCCAAGATCTTGTCTTGCCTGGAGCGCAGTGTGGAGCATGTAGCGGAGTGGAAACGTTTGAAGTATCCAAGGCAAAAGGGGTATGTAGCCTCTGGTAAACCAACAGTTCGCTATTAAAAATGGCCATAGAAATAGTTGATTTATCATTGAAACATGATGATTCTCAATAGTTTTTTGTATGATTACCAGAGGGCTAAAAACAATAGTAATAATGATAATAATAATCATGATAATAGATATGGCAATAATCTAAGAACAATAAACATATCAGCAACAACAACAACAACAGAACTCACACTAATATCATAATCATATAACAATAATAATATTTCATAGTAATTGTCACAACCAGGATCATAATAAATAGTAGCTTGTCATAGCAATAGTAAGAACGACAACAATACAGTAGTAGACAGTAGTAGACATGATGACATGATGACAATAACCCTTTGTTATTTGTGCCTTGTCAATGGGGATCTCATGGTAGCGAGGGTTTTTTAAACCGGTTTATAACTTGGGGGCACAACCTTGTATTAGCTATATATATATATATATTCCCATTTTGCAACTCCTATGGTTTATGGTAGATATGTCTCATGTGAAGGTTATGAGAGGTGGTTGCTACCCATTATGACATATTGAGTAGTTCGATATACTCCCTATATAATTGAAGCATAGTTATTGGAGTTATTGGCACCAACTTTGTCATCATAAATCATCCAGAAATCCACTTCGTATCTTACATATAGATATGAACCAAAGTTTTTTGACAACCCTATCTGTATTTTGTCTTTCCTACGGGGACCATTAGCCCTGCAATGTTAGGCCCCTATAGAGATAGATCATGATACATCCCCCCTGTGAACCATATACCCTCTGGTTATTCAACATAGCCATGGAAAATGGCCCATTTATAGATGGTTTACCTATTAAATATGGTGATTTTAAACATGGCTATGTAACAAATAACCAGATGGTACTTTTTTGAGGACAAAACATCCAAAACACGCAAGCTGCGCCAAGCTGCTGCGCTTGCTGCCCCGAAGACATCAACCAGCGCCGCCGATTCGATCTGGCGGATGTGGAACATGATGGTGCGTCATGTGGTTAAGATTGGCTGACATCTGGAAGACATCTGGAAAACAATCAAAACATATGGAAGAACATGATTAATATGATTAAAATGATTATAAGATCAGATTTACAGAAGGACTCCATCTGGTTGGTGGTTTTATCCATCTTGAAAAATATTAGTCAATGGGAAGCATTATCCCATATATTATGGAAAATAACAAATGTTCCAAACACCCAACCAGCCATATGTGTTTAATATGGATAGGATGGACTTTTCTTTGTGCTGACATCGCACCCACTCCAGCGCCGGTGCCTCTCCAGTAAATCCACGAGACGCTTCTGCAAACGCCTCAGGGCACCGGGACGTCCGTCAGCGAAGCTATGAGGGAATGTCATTGAGGTTGATCTTCCGGCCCAATGTTTTCTATTTAAATTGGTATATATATATATATAATCATACTGAGTTGACGCATGGAAAACTATCCAACTTAGTTAGATCGACATGGCTTCAGTTCTGTGCCTCCGTGACAACGGTGACTTTTTTGCAACCCCAAGCCATAGATAGAGAAGTGGGAAACCTGGAGAATACCCTCTGGTAAACTAACATAACTATGGAAAATCACCATTTTTAATGGGTAAATCAACTATTTCTATGGCAATTTTCAATAGTTTTTTGTATGTTTACCAGAGGGTACTGTGGATGGTTGCGAAATCCTGCACCAGGCATGGTAACTATTAGGATTCCTATGAAACACTGTGAATCATGAGATTATTGTGGGACAAAACATCCACAGTATTAGTGTTAAATATAATCATAAATTCCGGTAAACAGGTTTAAGATGGTTTAAGAGTGTTCAAGTCTTTTTGGTTGAACAGCCCGGACAGGACGAGTTCAGAGTCATTTGTCGTGAACCTCACAATGATTGCTGAGCAAGACTCGCCCTTATTACAGTAATGTTTGGTGGTGAAGAGTCGACCCCTTAAACCCACAAAAAATTGTCAACTAACTCGGCGGGGAATCAATGAACCAAGGAAGGACAATTGGATGCAGAATGATGCAGGGGGGACACGTTCACAGTCGCTACTAGGAAAGCTGTGTTTCACTGTGATGTTTGTTTTTTCTTTGTATGATTTTGATGTATGTGCAATCAACGCCAAAACCGAAACTATATACTTGGTGCTTAATGCACTGATTTGATGATGTGCACATCGATCTCTTCAGTAATTGATCTCTATGATCCAGTAATATATCCAAAACCCCAACAGGATGTTGAGTTTGTGCTGAGATCGTATGAGATAATCTTAACATTTGCTGGAGCTGACTACAGAGATCATGGGCCATTGGTTGATAAGTGGGGTATCAATCCATTATCCACCAGGCAGGGGGGTCACAGCATGTTGCACTTCAGTTGACAACCATCTACTTGAGTGTGTCTGAAAATGGTGTTTTTGCCGTGAAATGACCATCAAAACATAGGAAACATGATGATAACCATAGGAATTTGAGGCTCTTCACCTTCACCCCCAAGCACCACAGCCACTACTCCTTGCACTTTTTATAAACTTTTCATGTTTTTTCTTCGTGATTTCTGAGAATCTCTCACCATTTCGAGGGATTCCACGCTCCACCAGGTAGCTTCAAGCCGAAGAGATCCTCGGGATGCGTGGCAGTCTGCAAGAAGTGCAGGATGCGACGCAGGCCGATCCACCAGCCATCCATGAAGATCAGCTTCAAGACCTGGAACGAGCTGAGACAAGCTGACGAAACAATGTGAATGGGAATCCATGTGTATACATATATATGTAAATATGGATCAACTTCAAGACCTGGAACGAAGGGGAGGTCAACGCAACAACCATGGAAGATCTGTTTTGAATGTTCAATGAATGAGATGTTTACATGAGTTGACGATGTTTCAACCACAGATCATCTTTAGTGAATATGGTTTAAGAATTCAGTGAACATTTGGAAACACTATAGTTGACTATGTTTCAAGACCTCGGGAATCAACAAAAAAGATGCTGGTGCGGGGTATGATATCATGGGGAAAAATGTATATGATAGCTTCAAGACCTACCAACAGAAGGGGAGGTGGGTTGGGCCAAGAAAAATAATGATTGAATGGAGATGCACTGGTGATTTAATGGGAAACTATATGGATTAAATGGGATTTAAACTGATTTTATGGAATGCAGACCTATGACCCTTAACAGCGATGGCACTGGCAAAATTTACTCCTTTTAAGTTTTCCAAACATAGTTTTCAGGAGTAATCTCCCATTTACAACCGTTGAGGGCTATCACTGTACAGGATAATCAGTTATAAATTATAAAAACAAATATACATGCATACTGATATAGAATTACATTTGATGACATAATAATTTAAAAAAAACAAAACATAAAAAAAGGCCGTCGATTATGGGGCAGCTGACTTTGATTTGGGGACATCACTGTTAGGTCTGAATTGAACCATGTATTTCTTCATATCCTAGTGCTCCCCATAGTTAGGACGCCCTGGGAAGTAAAACTGTATGCTATTAGTTAGTACAAGATAGTACAAGTGCGACATTTGTGATACAGGAGAGGCCCGCGCACACCCGGACCTGGAATCTGAAAGCAGGACTTGGACCAAAACCATGCAAAGTTAATCAACAGTATCAACATAAGAACGTAAATCAACATGTGCTCGCCGAAGAGGTTCCTAAAAATACTAATAAGAATCAAACTCCTTCACTAAGAAGTCACTTGTCCAATCATGTCAAACCTGTAGCGCTGCCCCATCAATTAAAAAACGCTTGGCGAAGAAGTTCCCTGATAAGCGCCTTTTTAAAGTCTATATCCAACCAAGGTCAAGCACAATTTGCTGTCGAAGGGACTCCCTAATCAGGACCAAAGTACCCATATACAAAAAAAACTTTACATATATGATTCACATTAATTGTGTAGCAAGCTAATTTAAAGGCTCAAACACATGGCCTCTTTTACTAGTTCACCATATTACCAGCTAGGGTCAATAATGACATTAGCCAGGAATCAGTTTGAAAATGTTTGAAATATCTGATGGAAAAACTTGAAAATGGCAAAAAAACAATACCAGAAAATATATAATTTCTATTTATGAACTAAAGGATTTTGAATGAAACCCATGCATAATTCTAACCACCTATAGTCACAGAAAAAACAACAACATACAGCGACTTACTTTATGTTCCACATATACAATTATATCTCTGTGGTTTATCTTGATGTACGTTCTGTTCTGCAAACATATTCATGTGCCCAGCATGCATTGTTCACATTCCAAATGCCCACGCGAGCAAGAAGCGTTAATCCATTTTCATGGTTAGGTAGACCGGTTTTAAAACTCCAAGGTCCTCAAAGTCAGGATCCTAGATCATTTGCCATGGCGGATGGTAAAGGATAAATTTCACCTTGCGAAATGAACATGCAGCATGCATCACCAGATTTTTGGATTTCCGCCGAAAAAAAACAGGATCAGCAGAACTCAGGCGCACATTTTGTGATGTTGAGTTCTGCCGAAAATATTTGTTCAGCAGAAATCCCAGGGAAAAACCATTGAATCAGCAGAAGCCCACTACACAAAACCAGAAGATGAGTTCCGCCGAACCATAGGTCTGAATACAAAGTTCCGCCGAGAATTTTTTTCAGCAGAAGTCAGGTACACAATTTGTGTAGTGGAGTTCCGCTGAAAAACAAAAAACTAAAGTCCGCATTTTTTTTTGCAATCGATTCGGGGTCACGGGATCCCAAATTTCCGCCGAAAAAACAAATCTGCAGATCTAATGCCCCATTATCGGCCGCAACGGAAAAAAGGTCCACAAAGTCTGCAGAGATGTGTTTGGCAAACTAATCTGAGACTTCAATGCAAAGTTCTGAGCCCTAGACCCTACCCTACTTATTGGCCATGGGTGGCACATGTGATCGGGAGGAACTTGCCTGGGTAACCCTTGGAAGATCGTGTGGACTTGGTGATGGGCACTATAAACAACATTACCATGGTCTGGCCCCATGCTTTTTGAACGCTCCAATGGACAGAGGGTTTATATCAAATGTTCCCTTCCCCCGCCCGCTAATTAATGCTCAAATCCACCCAAATAGCCAAAAACATGTTAAAGCAGGTTAAAACTAGGTAAAGAAAAAAGTAATTGTAATTATAGTACAAGTGCGAGATTTGTTATACAGCAGATGTCCGCGCACACCCGGACCTGGAATCTGAAAGCAGGACTTGGACCAAAACCATGCAAAGTTAATCAACAGTATCAACATAAGAACGTAAATCAACATGTGCTCGCCGAAGAGGTTCCTAAAAATACTAATAAGAATCAAACTCCTTCACTAAGAAGCCAATTGTCCAATCATGTCCAATCATGTCCAATCATGTCCAATCTGTAGCGCTGCCCCAATACAAACATCAATTAAAAAACGCTTGGCGACGAAGAAGTTCCCTGACAAGCGCCTTTCTTTGAAATTACATTCAACCAAGGTCAAGCACAATTTGCTGCCTGAAGAGACACCCTAATCAGGACCAAAGTATCGACTAAAAACTTTACATATATGGTTCACATTCATTTTGTATCAACCGAATCCAAGCCTCAAACACATGGCATCTTTTATTGTTGAGGTCCAAGGCCACCATTTCAATCCAGTTCGCCATTTAAGGTCAATAGTAAAGTTGTAGTAAATTTTGTAATGAAATAAATAATAAGAGAAAAACTTGAAAATGGTGAAAAAACTGCTGGCAAATAGTTTCTATTAATTTCAGGAAACTTACCAAGAGCATGAAGGGGTGAAAGGGAATTATCCATTAAATCAAACTTAAATTTGGATGATCTATGACCCATGATCTAGATCCTGAGACCCCAATTCGATTGCAAAAGTTTATAAGAGACATACTTATATATATATATGTAACGTATATGCAATATGCAGTAGTGTGTTTTGACTAAGCTTTGAAACATTAATATACATATAATATAAAATATAAGGATATTTATTCATATTTAATCACAAAACCAACAGCATGATATGTCGACTTCAATCCCTGCACCAAATATGGCCCAGCTTTCACCCGCCTTGAGATAAGACAACCCACGGCTTGAAATCATTCTTGAAGGTCTTGGCAATCCTTGGTCGTCCACCAGTTGGCTTCTGGGATGCATCCGGAAATGGGGTTAGTTTTTCATGATCAAACCCATCGTTTTCACATCCAATTTGATGGAATTCCTTCAAAAAACTCAACATGTAGCCATCCTTCAAGCTGCACATACCCATATGCTCCATGGTGCTGGAATATTTACCAACATTTGCCCTGAAAATTGCCCAAATGTAGGTAAATAAACCAGCACCATGGAGCATCTGGGATATACCAAGTAGTTGGCAATTGTCCTAACCTTATGACTCTCTGGGAAGCCAAAGCGCAAGGTGGCGGCCCCCAGTGACAGATTTGTTTTATAAACCCTACAAAGTATATATAGACATATCTATCATAAACCACCATGTAATGTTATGCAAATGTTGGTTTATAAAGCCAGATAGCTATTGTTATAGATATCATAAACCATTGTCAAGTTATTGGAGCTACACACCCGCTTAGCTATCGTAAACGGGGCACCACGAAGGCTTGCAGAGCATCTTTTCGACAGCATGCTTTATTTTCACATACCGTTGGTCGAAAAGGACATCTTTACCAGTTAGATCATGAAAAAATCGCTCATCATTCAGATCACTCATTTTGATAGTTTAGCATAGTTTAGCCGGTTTCAAACATACCCGCCATGGTTTTCCACCGTGTCCAGCACGAAGATCATCAGAAACCTCTGCTTTTTGCCTTCATTGCTGAGCATATTCTCCAATCCTAAAGCGACTTTCGTGCCGTGATCCGCTGCTATGCAAGTGACAGGCCTGCACCGTGTCCAGCTGCACCTTGTCATGCCCGTCATGCCTGTTTTTCGAGTTGTGTGTTCGCTCATTCACTAGTTGAATTCCAGTGAAACCGTGGCTGACTGCAATGTCCCGCGGTGGTTTCGCACACAATTCTTTGAAGAAACGAAGAGGCACAAGGCCTAGGCAAACGGTCTTGACTTATGACTTTGACGATGTAACCACAAGAGCTCATGGCACACATATTCTTGGAAACACAACACACCCTCGGATAACCCAGTTTTCCTCTTCAAATCAATGGCCATGCAACAATGCAACAGGCACGGGTACCAATTTATTGGAGGTTCCTACCATATATAGTGCATACATAAGGGCTATGTAAGGGGAAATGCCCCAAAAATATGGCTTTATATTTTATATGGTGCAGTATCTCTGTTTTAGGGTCCTGAAATTCACATTGATCAAACATTCAAAAAGGGGGAGGAGGATGGAACAGGTATGTATAATGTCAACTCCGGTTTTCTCTTTTCCCCTGTTTTTGTTTTTTATCGGGGGTACCATTTAAGTGCCAAATTATCCCTATATCGTATATACTTCCGTGGAATCCCCTGATTCATGAACCGCAGTTGATTCATCCCGCTTTCACATTACAAATCCTTGTCTTTGCTCCATGGTGCTGGAATTCCAGTTGTCAACATTTACTCCATGTTATGCCCCAGTCACGTATAGCTAAATATGCCAGCAAAGGTGATCACGCACGTTTGTAGCATATTCATCAATATGGATTGATATCAACTGCCACAAACAAACATAAACAAACTACATTTCTCACTGAGTCTCATGGCTATGGTTAACTAGCGGGTTCTGCATAATAACTATGGCATCTATGGAACAAAAAGGGTGGCGTCTGATATTGTAGTATCACCATTTTTTCAAACTATTAACTAGCACAAACTATCACAAACTATCACATTTACAACTGACTATCCCATGAATATTGCCCTGAAAATCAACTCTTTGTAGTTTATTTTCCTATCAGAAAACCATGGGCTCCACATGTATGGATCATCCATGCAAACATTTGCCCTAGGCGATCTATTCTCCCATCAACAATAAATCAGCATTATATCCCATTCATTAAACCACATCTATCCCAGTCACCACTTCGCCATTTTTTTTGGGGACCTATTCTTCCTCTGTAACATGGAACGGAACCATTTCACCCGACCAAGCTGCTTCGTGGCGGCCCTGGGCGGCAGCAGGGCGTCGTCCTTCAGCAGTTCGTCCACGCGCCAATCGAAGCGGCGGAGGAAGTAGGCCTGGCGACCAAGAAACAACGGGGGGGAACCTGGATTGAAGTGTTAAACCATTGGGGGTTTCATTACAGTAACTAACAGATGGGAGGTATTTGGAAAAAAACATAAAAACCTATAATTTGAGTTGTTGATCAGTTGGATTGGTGAATATTGGCCAACTGCAACTAGCTAATGGGTTATGATGCTACAATTGGTTATTATCCTACTATGGGTTAATAACGTTAATCAACCATTGCAGTTATGGCCCAAAAACAGTGATAACTGGGATGAACTAGCTCCTATAACATCCTATAACTATAAGGTTATATATCATGAAGTACTCCCCGTTATAACTGTTAAGGGCCATAACAGTGGGATTTTCATTCATACTAACATATAAGGTATTTGGACAAACATTTTGAATTAATTGAGGATTGGTGAAAATGGGTCAACTGACCATGAAGACCAGGGGCTTGACCAGTAAAGAGATGGCTGAAACATTGGTTTCAGTCTCAAACACAGTGTATTTGGTTAGGAAGTTGAACAGTCATGATTCATGATATTTTCACCATCTGTTGATCCAGTCAGATTCATGCGTCACATTTTCTTTAAGGATTCAATATATATATATATGTATATATATATATACATGTTTCAGAGAAACCTATGATGTGACGCAAGATCGGAGTAGCTATATGTTGTGCTGCGGAGCTATCGAAGATTTCCCCGCTGGTGATTGAACGGGAAAGTGGAAAATCCACGTTTTCAAATACGATTAATAATTAGGATTTATTAGGTTAATAGTGATGAATCAACTTGACAATCCACCATTTTCTAAGTTCGGTCAATCATGATGTTTATCATCTGCAACTTGAGGCCATGGCTTCGGTAATCATGGCAAATAGACCTCCGCAAATTTCACACAGCCATGGAAAGTGACCAACAGTTGTAGATCATCTTCCATATTTCTTGGCCATTTTCCATGGCAAACTGTTGAGGTTAGCAGAAAGTAACTCACCTTGACTTGGAGTACTTTAGCAACCCTGCAAAAATGAGCTACACATTCCCTCAATCCATTCCCCAAGTAGTGGATTGGGTTGATTGTTCCCAATATATGGGAAAATAAAAAATGTTCCAAACCACCAACCAGTATAGATGAATATAGATGAGTTTCCCATGAAAACCGGCATTCATACAGGATTTCCATGGATTTCCCCAATTGCCTTTGCGGCCAAGACCGGCAGCGTGTTCTGCATCAGTTTCGTCATGCAGCCTGGCAGTGCCAACGGTTTTAGCCTTGGAATCGGATAATCCCTCAGCCAAATGATCCACCTGGTAGGTGGTGCCCCCTGGTTATACTGGTTGGTGGCTTCAACCCCTCTAAAAAATATTAGTCAGTTGGGAGTACTATTCCCATATATATATATATAGGAAAAATAAAAACTGTTCCAAACCACCAACCAGCATAAGTTGGTTTATCTTGCTTCATAAACCCTTTGACATATGTCGTCTACCGTAAACCGTCATGAACCATGTAAGTTATTAGAGTTTTTTTACTCGCACCAACTTAGCTAACGAACTCGGGTACATCTCATATCATCCCAAGACCTTTTCTGGAATACAATTAAGGTTACAAAAAAACAAAAGAAACATGAAACAACTTGGAGTAGATTTCAAGTGGTGGCTCTTGGTTCTGCCCTAGATGTTTTTCCTGTGTTCTGGGGTAAACGGGGACGTTTGCCACCTTTTATCTTCTTGTGGTGTTGCTTTCTCCAGCCCAACTGGTGATTTTCTGATCCTACAAGGTGGTGTAGTAGATATGATATATCGAGCTAACGGTCCATGAGTGGGGTTTAGCAACAAGCTTAGGGGTCACTTGTAGGAAATGGGAAATTATTTTCCTTATTATCCAAGAACTGCTATTCTTTCACCCACTTACATCCACTTACTAAGTAACTAGCCCCTGCGGTTCCATAGTGGGCTATAGTAAGAAGTAAAGTTTCCAGCAGTGAGTGGAATACGTATCTCATCATACCGTGGATGGACAAATTCCTTCATCAGTTGGGGGTACCTTCCAAAACAAAAAAATCCCAGAGCTGGCAGAGCTCATGAAGATTACCGTTTGGAAAAAAATGTCTGTCAGAGTTCCAATACGACAATGCGTATGATTTTTTCTCAAATGGCAAAGAAGAACCAGGCGGAGGCGGTGCAAGGCACTCAGATGGAGATAGCTGAGGCCGCTGATACACTCGGCGTGGCTTTGTTGGCACTTGACCCACCAGATTTCGCATAAGGTTGCGAAGAAGACTGGGATTCACTGCACACATGCTAAGCGGCGAATTCTGCAGCTTTGGCAGCTGCAGCTTCACGACTCTGTTGCCAATCCCATAGATCTCTCAGACTGGGTGTGCATTTGGTTGCTGTGCATGTCTGTCCACCTCTTCCACATCATCATCTTTGTTCCACGGGTCATCTTCACACTGTAGTTTCGCCTTTGCCATACCGTCCCACAAGGCCCACGCTGCTGTTGCATCTGATCAGGAGAAACCAGACTGCGTCCAAACGTCGCTTTGAAAACAAACATGGCTTAAAAAAATCTGATTCTTAGATGTCGCACTTAAATGCACGAAAGCATTGCCATTTGCTTAGTTTATTTTCAGTTATCTTCAATGTTTGCTTTCGTTCAGACGCACAAACTGGCATGTTTTTTACCGAATCTAACAACTGGCGCAGGATTTCGCAACCATCTCATATCATATCTCTATGGATAATTCGTCTTTGGGGCACATAAAAAATATTTCGATAAACTGGGGGGTTATAAATTCTATAAACCAACACTACCCTCCACTAAACTAACATAGCTACGGAAAATGGCCCATTTACAGATGATTTACCTACTAAAAAAACATATATAATTTCCATAGCTATGTTAGTTTACCATAGTTTACCGGAGGGTTTAGGGTTTCATCCCCTTTTCCCCCTTCCTGGCATAGGTCAGCCAGGTCAGCCAGGTCGCTGACTGCGAAGGTGAAGTCCTGGTAGCAATAGACCGCCTTCAGCGTCTCATTGGCGTGGAGGTGCTGAAACCTGGGCAAAGCGTGCCCGGACTGGTGCCGTTGGTTGGAGTTTCTCTGGCGGAGTTCTATGGGGATATATATATATATAAATATATTATAAAACCATGGTTAATGGATGTTAATGGGGTTCATAAACCAACTTATCATACACTTTATATATGATGACCCAACTAACAATTACTGGTTGGTGGTTGACCTACCCCTTCTGAAAAAAAAAATGTGAGTTCGTCAGTTGGGATGATGAAATTCCCAACTGAATGGAAAAGTAAAAGCCATGTTCCAAACCACCAACCAGTCATGCTATTTACTGACCACTCATGGGGTGACTTACTGGCTCATAACTTGTATTTCGTGGGTCAATATGATCCAAATCTACAGGATGGGGCCCCAGTTCTTTAGCTAAGTTGGTTTATAACTATGCTTTAACAATATTGTATGATACTTATAGTTATATTTAGATGGGGTTATACCAAGCTGGGAAAGGCAAACACCAAAATCTTCTCAATCAGATCATGTGCAACAAGCTCAGTTTCATAGGCACGCAACAGTTTCGACCAGAGAAAGCCAAACACAATGTCGGTATAGCCGCCTGGGCACGAGCCAATGGCTGTGCGAACTAGATCTGGTTGCCGACTGGGAACCACGTGTCCGAGTGCAATGAAGAAAGCGCTGGACAGAGATGCGGCTGCTTCAAGGCCACTAGGTTCTTGCAATGCGTAGAACTGGTGTAGAGATGTGTACAATGTGGGGCCCCCTAATTATAAATTGGTGTATAAACCTATTAAGTATAGATATATCTACAATAAACCACAGCTATTGAAGTTACAAACCAACTTAGCTAACGAACTGGGGCACCACATTGTAGAGTGTCATCCTCAAAACCAAATCTCCGGGCTGCGATGTGTTCAGAGAAACACAGGAAAAGGCCTCGGTCAGGTCAAAAAAGATCCCCCATTAAGTATGGATATAGAGATATAACGATGCTTTATGGGTGATATACCATTTTTTACCATTATAAGTATGTATATCAGCTATTTATTAAGAGATATAACGATGCTTTATGTATGGAGCACCCTCTAAGTATGCTCCATATTCCGATTTCAAGCTGAGGAACGAGTCTTCTGCCTCACCCTCCAAGCGTAACAGCTGATGTCGAAGGCCTCAACAAAAAAAGGGGGGCCGATCGGAGAACAAGGACATTGACCTACAGTTATGGCCCTGGCCTAACAGTTATAACTGGGATGAACTAACTCCTATATATAACTAGTTGGTTATATATCATGAAATAATACCAGCTATAGTTGGGCCATAACTGTATGGCCCGAAATAGCAGTTATGGATGTCAGTAAGTCATCCCATCTATGGTTAATGATAACCCAATGAAAATAAGCATAGAATAATTGGTTAAGGCCTTCAACTGCAAAGAATGGCGCCCAGTATAACAACAAATACCAAAACTCTCCAATGTAGTCATGAAAACTGGCAGAACATTTACAACCATGGGGTAGAACACAATTCTTACTAGTACTTGGAGGGGTCTAGGTACGTCTATTTTGACCCATCCAATTGCGTAAATCATAAATCAACTCGTTAGCCTGGTTATAAAATGTTATAAAGCTGGAAATATTTATCTCATATACATATTCATCATATTCAGGTTGGTGGTTTGAACCATCTTGAAACATATTAGTCAATGGGAAGGATGACATCCCATATACTATAGAAAATAAAACATGTTTGAAACCAACAACCAGTATGTGTATCTATCACCTCTAAGATTTGACCTAAATTCTTCGAAGATTTGACAAATCATCGGGCCCCGGGGGCCACCATGCCTGCCATCATCTGATCCACATGTCCTTGCTGCATCACTTCATAGCCCGTGCGGTCCTAGTGCCATGGCATGCCGGCTGAAATGAATCCGTCCAGGGTGCGGCCGCATACCCTGCGGGTTTCTGAAATGGATGATTCGGGATACCTTTTTTCAGGAAACCTAAAAAAATGCCGATCTTTACATAGCTGTGAAGCAGTTGCACCTTACGATTTGGGCAAATTATGAGCGACAGATTGGTCATTGAGCATGGAGATATCGATTCAACGTGTGTGTGTGTGTACACTGCTATTCACATGCAGAAAACTACAACTGGACATTTGATGACTATGCACGTTATGTTTTCCGAATTCATGCGCCAAAGACTATGCACGTTATGTTTTCCGAATTCATGCGCCAAAGACTACTTAACAGCAGGGGGCTGCAGGGAATGTCATAGTTCTGCAGCCAACGAAGACGGCTATGACATTCTGTGATATCGATCCGGGACGCTGGATCGACGTACCTGCCTAATCATGTCTTTCCATTTCCGCGATGGGATGTGGCTAACCCAAGAACCACCTTGCCGATTAATGATTTGGACCTGGTTTCACCTGTTTATCAAGGATGATGGACTCAGGAATTCTACCAGGCATGTACAACCACATCGTCATTGCAGTTCACTTCCAAAAAATCAACAGTGTGCATTAGTCATGTGTCCTATACAGACCATGACCTCATCATCCCTAATGGGGAAGAACAATCTTGGCATAGTGTGCCGAATCCGCCCTCTACGGAGGCAGAAGTTGAGCGAGTAGCCATAGGGGCTGCTAGAAGTGATGGCAATAGCCGAAGGGGGGTCAAGGACAATTGAAGGGTGGCATAAGCCGAAGGAGTGCCCAACGGGCGAATGGTGCCCATAGGGCGAAGGTGGCCATGTGCCGAAGGATTTTATTGGCCGGGAACCCTACTTCTTACTGTCATTTTATGAGTTTTCACCTTCTCTTTCAAATCAATTTACAATTGTGAGGACAAGAGATCAATTTGAAGAGATCTAGAATATAGGAAAACCTATCACAAAAGTGCGCGGACACACATAGTTTGTGATGCTCGAACCAAGCAGAATGTCAAACACGGTAGGGACCTTATCGCTGCAGATGTGTGTACGATCTTGATTCATGTTTTCGAGGTTTTCTACTGAGCGAACACTTCAAACCAATCCAATAATTGAGACCATAGTCTTGTTATTCAAGAAAAATCGTCGGCCGCGCGCATGTTCCAATGGCCAGTGGGCTAAGCCAGAATCCCACACTGACCACTTTCGATCATGCGCAAGTTGACACATGATTTTGATGCGTTTTCAATCTGGGTAATGCATTCCCTTGGCTCATAGCAAGCTCTTTGACATGTTAAGTCAATTTGTTGCTTTTCATTTCTACACGTCATTCGTCATAACACACCATGCGCTAAATGTACTGACAATTCTTGAACAACTCATTTCTTCTTTCGCGTTCAGCAGACTTTTTCGCGATATGGAACTCCATGCAAGAAGCAAAGCTGCCAATGGACCGCCGTTGAGTGCTACCGTTGCGTATCTTCCGTCACAACCGATGGTATCACTGTCTTCACCGTGTGCAGCAGCTCCATTTGTACCACGGGCGACACCTGCATTTTCACCATTTCCCGGACATGCACCAGTTCTACAGACTCCGCCCGGTCCCCTTCCTTCACCTCCCCCCTCACATCCTTCACGTACAGTTGAACATGGACCTCACCAAGCAACCCCCAAGATACAACCTATCGCGGAGTCCTCAGCAAAATCAGGAGTATCACCGGTTCCCATCACGTTGCCAGCTGAACATGCGGAAAGACGTACGCCTACTTCACCATCCGGATTATCGTTGACTGTCAAAGGCATTGTAGGAGAATATAGATTGGAAGCTCAGAGTATTGATCATGCAGGACCCATAGTGTATCTCATGGATCGCATCATGACAGTGGAATCCAATTTGGCACAACAACGTCTTCAAGATCAACAGTTTCAGAATCAACAACTACAATGGCAGATGTGGTCGTCGATGCCTCAGATGTGCAACATGTTGGCTTCAGGTAGTGATCAACCACTTCCCTGTGATGCCATGCAAACAGTTAGTTCTGTCAATGAACCTATCGTGTCAAATCAGAACACAGTGGATCGACCACCACTAAAGAGAGTAAAGGTGAACACGCTCAAACCAGGAGAATGCAAACATACCAGTGATGATGGTGAATTTAGTAGTTTCTATCTTCCACAGGGAAAGACAGCATTCAAATTTCTACAGCGATTCACGGTTGGCAGAAACGGTGAGGAAGTAGTGGAACTACAACATCCTATCCTCCGAAAATGTTTTGTGATTCCATGCATTGCTGGTTTTACATGTACAACTTTACTCCAAAATGAGTCGGACAAAGTCGATTGGGGCCAAGTATACTATGCAATTGTTCTTCGTGTACGATCGGATATTGTACTTACGAAACAACGTGTTCAGAATGCTCTCGTGCTCCAGAAAGTGCGCGTGACAGCCTCCAAGTTCGTCCCCAACCTCGATTACTTCTCACCTAGTCGTGGATTTTTGACAGAACCTCAACTTAGTATGGTCTCAGGACCGCTCACTGAATTCTTCCTTCAGAAAATTCAGGCACAATTACAGGAGAAAGGTAAGAACATGACACCGACCATACGCTTCGGATGTGCACTCCTTTGCAAAGCGTTTACTATCCATGCAGACAATACTGAACTGTTTGGAGAAGTCTTGGTTCATTTTCGAGACAAGGATGTTCCATTTGCTCTGACTGTCGAATTGAAATCGTTTCCGTTTCAACTCCTCGAAGGCACTATGGACACAAAAAGCAAATATGCCTTTGCACACAATTGTTCATTATTGACAGCATGCGGCATTTTGGAAGATGGATGCATTCGCCCATCCGCAGTGGATGAATCAGACACAGATTGGTTACCTGTCCCTGGATTCTACTGTCGAGGAGCCATGATCCAAGGAAACGACCCCAAGGCTGAAACAGCAAGTATAATTGCAGCTATGGTAAAAGCAGCAAAATACAGCCATTGTCAAGATGGAAACAAACCTCTAAGCATTGTAGGAGTTGCCCATAGTCGACAACATCATCATATTACAGTTCACCAGGGCGGTGTCGTCGCAGAGCAGGCAGCAAGCTTCTTTTACGACGCGGTCCATGGTCAGGGAGACAAGCGATGGTGTTTCAAAAGTCATTTGTGTACACTGCAAAGTATTGCTACATACGTCGACGATCGCCATACAGTATAAGGGAACCCTGTTTCACCGTTCAGTTTCTCCACTCACTCACAGGCATCAAAAAACGTGTACCTGCACCCAACGCTGTATCGTGCATTTGGTTTTTCAGATTTTTTCTGTGCATTAACCAGGTATTCAGAAATGATAAGTTCTTCTTTTTCAACCTGCAGGATGTGGTCGAACGTATTGCTGTTCCTTTTGTATCGTTTTCTCCCTAGCACGCTTTCGTTCACAGCATACAAGTTCTTTGGCGATAGTACCTGTGCTCAAGTTTTTGTAGTGTCAGTTGATCGTCCGATCAGTCTTTGGTCCTTCTCCATTGATTCCTGATACCTTCATGTATTCTCCTCGTCAGTCTCGCTCTCGCCATCCTGCTCGACATTCTCGACACGACTCTAGAGACCGGTCAGTTCGTCAATCACGTGGTTCTCGTCATTTTCGAGATCGTTCTAGATCCAGATATGAGAAAAATAGATCTCCACGCAGGTCTACTATGTCACAGGGAGTGCATGAATTTCGACCGGCTCCGTTTGAAGTATGCAGCAAATGGAAAACATCAGAGAGTCACTATGACACCACCCAAGAATATGGATTGAGTTTTCCCAAGGTGGTAGAGGCAACCAAGTGGTCTAGGCAACAACAACTCGCTAACCGTCCAGTGGAAGACATTCGAGCTTATGAGGTTTGCAGTGGAGGTTCATCAAATTGGTCGTTGCGACTGATCTCCAACGGACGCTATGTGTCATTTGAAGCTTTCCGATCCAAAGTAGATGCTATTTTGTGGACCTCTGTTTTTTCAGAGAGATTTACAAACATCCTCATTTGGACCTCCACCAAATCATGGGTATCAAAGACGATGGAGTACAACAAGATTGGGATGCGAAGTTGGATACCATCAAGAAGTTTGGCGATGAAATTGTCAAATTTGTGGAATCAAAAGCTCCAAAAGACCCCAACCAACAGATGCTTGAGCAGATGGAAAAGTTGAAGGAAGAAAATGCCCTTCTCAAACAACAGATGTCGCAGAGTACTTCAGGCAATCCACCCCCAGCACCATCAGCACCAGCCCGTCCCAACGCCAATGCCATGGGACCCATGGATGCATTTGTGAGACCTGGTAATGTAGACGCATCCAAAGCACCCCTGGACCAACATCGTCGGAAACAACCTCAACCAGCTCTTCTCAGTTCCAACAGTCCCAAAGACGGCACCCCCGCCAAAATTCGCGACTGGATTCAGGGCAATTTGACCAACAGTGATCAAGAAAATCTACAGGCTTTGACACAGACTATCCAAGAGGAACTCACAGCAGCAGGACCAGATGAACAACCGGCGATTGACAAGATCCTAGTAGACTGGGGCCTCAGTACAGTTAAGGTCAACAAGATGAAACATGAACAACAGATCAAGCTTTTGGCGGCGGTGCAATTCCTCAAACACTGACTACTGAGCAGAGTAACACCGGGCAGCAGTTTGACCAATAGAGCTCGGCAATTTCTTAGCACACTTGTATTAGCTACCATTCTGATTCAATTCATGTTATCAAACACCGAAATGTCATGGGAAATTCAGCGCCTTTTGTATTGGCTACGAGCTCAGTGGTGCGTGACAATTTTGATACATGAGTGCACTACACGATTTCGGAAAAGAATCGTTGCCATTTTGCGAGCACATCGAGTTCCTCACAATTTCACTCTTGAGTGGTTCATGCGCACATCCATTGTTTACTTGAAGGTTTCTTTGTTCCACCGATATTTTTACATTGGCTCGACACATTTGGATATGTTTCAACGTGAACAAAGTCGACTTCGAAAATACCGACAGTTGGAAAGACATCAACTGGCATATTATGAACCAGCTCTCAAGTTCTGGCATAAAACAAGCACTTTTTGGCACTATGTCGGCATACCCTTAAAGTACGTCAAAACAGACGTACTTGCAGTAGAAACAGCACTTCAAAAACAGTTGTGTCCAACACTCAATTGGCCACACATTTTACCATTATTGCGCAAATACAACATCCAGCGCCAGCACTACACACTCCCTACGACAAAGACAAATGTGACAATGGGACAGACAGTGATGAAACGTTGGAACAAAATGAACGGTTCCACTCGTACCACCGCAGTGACAATACAACGAACGCATAATACGCTGGAGGATAAATATCGCATTTTATATGCTTTGGGCTCTGATACAATACAAAAATTCCATGTTTCTGCACACCTTCGACAATTTTCAATTTCAACACCATATATTTTTCTACTATGGCGACTGTCCCGATTTGTGAATGAACCATTTCGAACACGATGTCAAAGTCAGTTGAGATTGATATTGGAATTTCGGCATACTACGACTCCACCTGTCAATATTCCGCTGCGACTTCATATTCCAGATGATGCTATGTTTGAGAATATTCGAAAGTGGATGCTTGGTTTCACATTCTTTCATCGTATCCATTTTCCACCTCTTCACAAACCACGGGCACCTATCATCCATATAAAGAACCAGACTTGGGGACAAGTACTTTTCAATTTTCGACGATTCCTGAAATGGTGGTATCCAGACAGAACACCGACTTGCACGTGCAATCGATTTCCAAGCCATATTCAACAAAAGAAAAAGAATACTCCACATATTGTCGCCTGGGCCTCAGAATGCTTTCCAGATATTCCAGAATTTCGTCACCACGCGGGCAGTGAAGTGGCACCTACATGGCGGATATTCCATTATCAAGCTACAGAACAATTCGAGAAATGGTTACGAAAATGGCGTTTACCCGCACACCTTCAACAATATTGGCAATATTTTCTGAATCAACAATGGAAACTATTTCGACAACAACATGGACCTACACATCGTCGACAAAGTCAACTTCGCCAGTTACTTAGTCTATTTATTGCCACTCCAGCAGATCATTTTCCCAACTCCTTATTACTGATGTGCCCAGTTCAGTACCATATTCTACTTCAAAAAACTTTTGGCGATACAACAGTATTTCGACCGTCACATCTTGGTGCAGAAGAAATTATGACAAATATTCAGGAGAATGTGCCTTCTTGGATTAAAAAGCAGTATCGCTGGGGACTGAACTTCCAATATGCTTTGAGCACAGCCTACCTTTTGCCTAAACCCACACGCCAATTTGAAAAAGCAAGACCCATTGTCGACTACTCGCATTCTTGGTTAATGAAACTAGGTGGGTGTCTTGCTACAGCACTTTTGGAAATCAGTAGACCGGTATTCACCAATCTCATGCAGTTCACAGACGTTGAATCTATACTAACAGCTGTACGACACATTTTTGCAATCCACGACCTGGAGGATACCTTGGATATATTACAACAGGACATTGCTGGTTTCTACAATCAAGTTTCTCATGACCGTATCATCAACAGCGTGGAATTCACAGTCCAACGATTTATTGACCTTCAACAATGCCCACAGGATCAAGTTCTCAACATTACTTCACGCAAGCTAGAAAGGACACAACGATTATTTCGAGGACGTTGGAGAGCTCATAGCAAGCAGCATCATATCATTACACTCAACCACATTGTTGACTTAACGAAGTACCTCCTTCGCCATAGCTTATTTTCACTGGGATGTGTTAGCTACCGACAGATACAAGGCGCATCTATGGGCTCACAGTGGGCCCCAGTTGTATGTTCACTAGTTGCCCTACATCGAGAGCACACCTACAGCATGCTTTTTGGACAAGCCATTTTTTCTGGAAAACTTTTTAGTTCCTTTCGTTATGTTGACAATCGTCTGCTTTTGGGTCCACAACAACTCACTGATCGCCTTCGACAAACTTGCTTTTGGAATTTAGATTTCTACACCTCGCCCATTCTTTTGGAAGAAATACAGGGTTTTGATGCACTTGGATTCAACATCAATCCACATCAACGTACCATTACATCGGTATTGCCTTGGGACACAGTGATACGCACTTCCGCTGGTTTTGGACCTAGAAGCTCCATGTATACAGGTCTCATTGCTCGAACACGTCTAATTTTACAAAATACTTTTCCTCGTGAACTTCAACTTCCTCAAGTTCAAGACCTGCTCGCCCTTCATACCCTTCAGGAACCTAGATACCGCGAATGCATTCCTCAGATCATTTCGATTGCCCGCAGTTTTGGACACAAATGGACCAGACAACAATTGACACCGTTTGACTGAAAAGAAGCCGTTGTAGCTGCATTTGGGTTTTGTGCTTTTCATTCCAATTGCAACTTTGCAACTGTTGCAACTGTTCAAACGTTTTCTGCAACATCCCACCCAAAACGCCTGGCTCGCAGTGTGATATTGGTTTTTCCGTAATTGATTATATTCAGTTCTCTAGCTTAGTTTACGTCCGTTGTTCTACTCTATATGGTTCACGGTACTGCAACACACTAGCTTAGTTTACGTCCGTTGTTCTACTCTATATGGTTCACGGTACTGCAACACACTGGCTTAAGTATCATATAACTGTGATTTAATCAATCCATTTACTGTTTTTCATCACTGCGTTCTATCTCAACCACCTGACCTACGTGTTCTACGCGTCGGAATCTCAGTTTTTGGCGAATTCTGCCCTTCGTCCATAGACAACTAATAAACGTTCATTTTAAACGGATTTGTGGAAGAACAAGAATACAATCGATTTGTGTCCATTTCATTTCGTGGTATCCATGTTTCAATTGAAGTGCAGTTCTCTTCACTTTTTAACACTCCAAAGTCATACTGTCCTTGCTCTATTTGTTCCACGCGTCGGCAACCCAGAAGTGTCACCTTCCTTATGAAGACATATGTATATATGTGTATACCGCTCTCCACACGCAAAGTGTTGCGCAATCTGCAACAAACAGTTGATGTTCGTGAGGGACAAGGGCACGATAACTTTGGATTGCATCATATTCAATTATTTCGCTAATACAAACTTTGGATTGCATCATATTCAATCATTTCGCCAATAACAATTAACACCTTTTAATCTAACCATGTCCTTTCCATTTCGACTTTATTTATCGCGATTTCTTTGATCTACGTGGTCTACTTGCTCTACACGCCGCTACCTCAGAGTGCCTTCTTTGGAAAGACCTGTCCATGAAGATGCAGGTGCGTATACACCTAATCCCAAGCATGAATTTCATTTTCGAATGAGTTCAACGTTGCTTATATTGACGTGATCTGCTTGCTTCATTAGGCAGTCTTTCAGAATTTGCCTTCCATGTGAAGGCCTTTGTGTGTGTACACTGCTATTCACATGCAGAAAACTACAGCTGGACATTTGATGACTATGCACGTTATGTTTTCCGAATTCATGCGCCAAAGACTATGCACGTTATGTTTTCCGAATTCATGCGCCAAAGACTACTTAACAGCAGGGGACTGCAGGGAATGTCATAGTTCTGCAGCCAACGAAGACGGCTATGACATTCTGTGATATCGATCCGGGACGCTGGATCGACGTACCTGCCTAATCATGTCTTTCCATTTCCGCGATGGGATGTGGCTAACCCAAGAACCACCTTGCCGATTAATGATTTGGACCTGGTTTCACCTGTTTATCAAGGATGATGGACTCAGGAATTCTACCAGGCATGTACAACCACATCGTCATTGCAGTTCACTTCCAAAAATCAACAGTGTGTGTGTGTGTCGCTTTTGTTTGGATCCCCATTTTCCAATTGGAGCTAGGTTTCCCACATCAGTCTGTCATTCTTGGCATGTCCATTGATCCATATTGTATTGGCCATTTATTTTCCGTGTGGTTTTCCCATTTTAGGTATGGGGGCTTGTGATGTGGTTCACTTTAACACATGACCAACTGGGCAGTTTGCATATGGGTTATGGTTTATGGTCATCCATCCCATAGCTGGAACATGTTGAACCCTAAAAATGATCATATAAATACCCCTTAGGTATATATGTGTATATATATATGTATATAATGATTACAATCCCCAATCTAAGCAATTCACCTAGGTTTTGACCGTGGCACACACACAAGTGCCTGACTACACACCATCAAGGCTATCTTGGAAACTTTGCAAGCACACATTGCTGGGTATGCTGGGGATATCACGGAGGCAAACCCAACAAACAAGACCCCTCAGAGCCCCACGGGCACACGGACCTTTTTAAATGTGAACATATAGTTACATTGCAAAACAGTGGGGACAAACAAGAACGTTTGACTTTTCATCAATTGTTGCTTCCATTGTTTTTAATTTATACAACACAAAAACGTGATAGAACAGTTGGAACCACTTATTCCTCAGTTCTTCCTCCAGTTCCCTCCTGAAGCATCACCACAGAGACTGGGATGTTCACCCGCGGTAAAAAGTTGAACCTGGCTGCGGTCGAGCTCTGTTGGTTGACTACTGATTACTTCGGAGGATTATACTGACTACGCTTTAAACATGATCCCCACTATCATATGTAATCAAAAAATATAAAACCATTTTTGGGAAAATAACATCAACCAAGCAGTCCAATGAAATGACAGATGGTTTAGAACACTGCTCAATCGTCGGAACCTCTAATACGAGAGGCTGCAGATCTCTTCGGGAAAAAAATTGGGACATAACAAAATCAATGAAGATTTAACCATCAAACATTTGGATTTCATGGCTTACATCGACTTCGACTTAGACTCTAATTAAGATGTGTGATCGTGATAGAATATAAAAAATATGATAGGATATATAGCTACCCCGAATTGTGGGGGAATTGACCAACCACCGTTTTTGCTGCCTGAATCACAATTTTTGCTTGGTTGAATGACTATTTTTGCTGCTTAAGTTATTTCAGCAAAGTCAAATCCCCATTTTGCTGGAGTAAGTCACAACAATTGCTTGCTTAAACCACCATTGTTTTTGGAAATTTAGTCGCCATTTGTGCTGCATCAATCATTTTTTCTTGCTTACCTTCTGGTAATTTAACGGTTCGCTATTGAAAATTGCCCATTTAGTTCCTTGATTCACCTATTAAAGATGGTGATGTTTTATAGCAAACTGCTAGTTTACCAGAGGGTATAGCCCCAAAAAGCAGTTATACTGTAACTGGGATTACTTCATGATATCTAACCAACTAGTTATAGGAGTTCTAACTCATCTCAGCGGGTATATGGAGGTTTCCTAAAATACCACAAACCAACCAAGTCAGACCATTCTAGTATTGAAGCCAACGGTTATCAATCACCAGTTTTATATAAATCAGACCATTCTAGTATTTTTACTGTTATAAATCACCAGATATATATATATATATAGTGCCGGACAATCACTTAGAACATGAAATGTTATGAAATGTTTTCCAGAGGATGTTCTAAGTGATTGTCCGTCGCTATAAATCAGTTTTTTTTTTGCCAGTTCAATCACCCTTTTTTCTTTCCCTCCGAACTGAGCCGCCTGAAGAGAACCAGCTGGAAGATCATCCGTTGCACACGGCCATTGCCATCAGCCATGGGATGAAGCCTCAATCAGGGTCTCGGAAAACCAGAGGAAAACCATAGGAAAAACCGTAGGAAAATGGTGAAAACCCTAGGAAACCCTAGGAAAATTGTGATTCAACCCAAACAAAATGTGGTTTTTAGATGCTTTTAGTGGGGGTTGTAGCTGATTTCTGATAGCTAAGTTGGTGCTAATAAGTCCAATAACTATCGGGGTTATGAAGCAAACATAACTGGGGGCACCACCTTTTACAGATTTCTCATGTGGGATTAACCCAGGATATAGCTTGGTTTCATATAGGATAACTATGTTTAATGGGGATATACATGGTTATAATGAGGCTATACCTGGGGGTGCAGGCCGAAGTGGAAAACATGGTATCATTATGGGATTCGAATCCACATAAGCTGGGGTTTTGACGCCTGAAACTATGATGAGGTATATCTATAATTATCTATAGTACTTGTAACTGGAAGTGCGCCTCCCAAGTAGAGATATACTGGGAATATCATGGTGATACAAAATATATCAACTAATTAAATATATATATATATATATAATATATATACATATTATATATATATATATTATATTGTATATATTATGTATTGTATATATTATATATTGTATATATTATATGATATTATATATATATTATATTATATTATATTTTATATTATATTATATTAAATTTAAATTATATTATATATATTATATATGTATATACATAGATAATAATTTCACAATAAATCACTAACCTGAAATAAGGCATTTTTGGGATAGTTTCCATTCCTGGCCAGGAATCCAGAGACGTCGCAGTGAGGTGGTCATAAAACTCTACTACACATAGTAGGGATATCACAGAGGTATTTATATATATATATACGTATTTTCTATATATATATATCATTTTATCTTCCCCCATTCATACTAAACACTCCCCAAAACATCCATGGTTTAGCAACTAAGGTTGTCTACACATTTGGGACCATACTTAATGGTGCTGTTGAAACGGGGGTCGTTGCCAAAGGTTTCCTCATCCCACAAGATGGTGTAGAATTCATCAGAATTCTACAAGAAATACGTGATTTACCCAAGTGTTCTTTTCCGTCTTTTCCAGTACACTTACCCCTCATCCAAATGGGGGACTTGACCTGCTAGACACCGTGTCGTGCCTTTCGCTGCGAGATTTGGACAGGACACAAGTGATGGACGGGACGTTGGACATGCACGCTGACTGAGATGTACACATGACTGTCTTAAACAATATGTCAGCACAGTGTTCAAAAGCTTTTGTCATCCCGTCATGCTGTTTGGTTTACTGTAACTGAGTTTCCCATAATGGATGAGGATAATCCCTAATATCCCTAACTACTTGGATACCCTCCACTAATCAAATCCCGAACTAAATAGAAAATTATAGCCGGGAAATTCATCGAACTAAATGGACGATTTTGCAGCAAGCCATGTTTGATACAGTATCACCGGACGGTACTGTAACAATAAAACGGTGCATACAGCCATTGCCAACTAATACTGGTGCAAACCAAATCTTGAGCCACAGGAATTTGGTTGAATTTCCAGCATGGAAAAAGGGCATCACAAATCTCTACCTTGCAAGTATCTACAACCTCAACAAGGAACACGCTGAGTTGGCCTCATATTACTTTTTGCAAATTGAAACATGTTCGTTCATGATTTCTCCGTCTAAGGAAAAACATGTTTGACCAATAAGTACTTTGGGGTGCAGTTCCACTTAGTAAGTGAATACATACGGCAATTGAATCATCCACAAGTACACACTCCGCAGCCCGAAACATCGACATCTATATCTTCACGAGCAAATCTTTCGGGCCCAGCCACGTGTTCAAAGCAATCTTCGCGATAGTGGCGCAAACAATAGGGTCCATTGCCGGATCATCCATCATCCTGGGAAAAACCCAAGCTAGGAACGTCTGAAATGGTTAGGTAATAGCCTCAAAAGTGTAGTCGTCAATGGGAAGATAATGATAAACCATGGGAACATATGATATTTTATAATGTTGTATACTCAAACGAATCCATGGGCCTTTTTTCTGGGAGCGATAGCCAAGCAATGAAGTAGAAGGGGCTGTGTGGTAGGGAATGGTACTTTCAATGAATGATGCAGTTAAAACCCTTTACCAGTTGTAAATGATTGTTATAAGTGGTGTTATCCTTCTATAAAGGGTGTTATAACTGACTTAAATATAATATATATATATATACGTATATATATATATATATAACTTAGTAAAGGGCCATAACTGTATTCAACAATGTTTTTAACGTATACCTCGTGGGATGTTTCACAATTGCCAGGGTTACATAGCCCTGGGCCATCCCGTGCCCAATGCTCAGCCCGCCTTTGGACGCATTGGAAATACCCCTGGTAGAGTTCGGGCAGCATGTCCTCGACACGCAGCCCGAAGTTGGGGCAGCCACAAAATGTTGCGAACCATATGTTTGGGTGTGAAAACTTCTTTCACCCATACCCATCTGCCCTGTTGCCTTGGATTACCATCTGGTTATTTAACATAGCCATGGAAAACCACCATTTCTAATAGGTAAACCATCTATAAATGGGTCATTTCCCATGGCTATGTTAGTCATAACCAGAGGGTATCATTTAAAAAAAATGGATTTACCCTCAGGACATATGGCAATGCTCCTGGGGAAAATAGTCATAAAACCTGGGATTTTGTCGCGCCGCTTTGGGTGCCACATTTGAACCACATACGGGGTTGCACGGTCAACAACCCTGCATTTTGAAGGGAAAAGGCTCATGCAAACAAATGGACAGGGCTGAATCAGGGTGAAAAATAAGGGCAGAATTGCCGATCCAATTTGTTCCAATGGTCCATTGGAAAGTGCATCTATCAATGGCAAATTTTCATTGAAACAACTTTAAAGTTACCACCAAGAAGGATAGAACAGAGTCTTTTGGGTTTGCTATAGTGCTGGTTCTACCCACAATACGCCTAGAGAATGGCCAGGGTGAGCCCGCTATGCAAGCCAAAATCATTGGGGAATGTCAACGTCCCAATACATGGGAGTGAACACACCACACAAACATGGAATGCCAAATGGCTTGGAAACCTGCTCAACACAGATTATTGTATTCACCCCACGATTTGAAATCATGTTTTCCAAGCTCTATGGGGCGCAAATAACTCCTATGGCAATATGGTTCACAAAAGGGAAGTATCTATACTAGTCATGGAGTTATATTCGCTTAAAAACCAACAAACATAACTGGGTGGGGCACCTGTGCTTGTTGGATTAGCGCATCCCCAGGTCATCAAAAGAAGAAATGGGTAAGGCCAAAAATGGGTACCCAAAGAATTGGATACTTAATAATTACTACACACGTAGTAAAATCTGTGGTCCCATATACCCAAATTGCATTTAGCATCGTTTTTTCAGCGCACATAGGAAAGTCATTGATAACAAACGCACTGATGACCCTGTGCGTCAGGATTATTAGAAGCAAAACCACAGATTATCGAGGTCTGCGGCCAAAAATAGGGGTGTCTGTGTCCCAACAAGTCTTGGATGTTGGAGCTATCTCCACTTTCACAAATACTGCCAGAATCTGCCAGAATCTGGGCTTCGAAAAGGCTATCCCAAAATGTGTCTGGAAAAGGGTATTGAGCCAAGTTGCATTTCGAGGCATGCCCAACTATGTACAGAAATCCAAACAATATTGTTGGTCCATTTGCGTTGTTTCATTCTATAATATACACACTGGTTCTGGTCTTAAACATTGGCACCCATTCCCAAACATATTAGAGTAATCTCAAAGAATTATCCCAAGTCTGGTTGAAACCTAAAATGTTCAATCCACCAAGCAATATTTTATACGATTATAAATATGATATCTCATGATATCTCCTTCAGTTACAGCCCTGAAACCCAGCTATCAATGATGAAGATGAACGGGGTTTCTCATTCCATGAACGGGGTGACATGGGGTGACTTACTGACTTATCACGGGTTCATCCCAATGGCCCACGATGGACGACACGTCACGGGAGTGGGTGGTAGGTAGTGCAGCACCAATTCCTTGCCGTACTCCGGGTCATGCTTCTCCTGCGCAACGAGACGCGCAACGTTGCGTCCTCTTTTCACGACAAGTGCGGTGAGTTATCGAATCGCGGTGGACCAAAAAGGAGGTGAACCAACATACCCATAGGATCCATGGTGCTGGTATATTAATGCTAACATGACTGAGGTATATTGTAATATTGATGGTAAATGTTACCATATACAGTATAGCATACATGGATCTTATGGGAAAGAATCTATGATATAATCTATGGTAGAGCTATCGAACTTGGTCATCGTTTGTCACAAAAAAAACTCGCCGATTTTTGGGGCTCTCCAAATGACTAGATCCATCACGAAACACGGCGAAGGGGATTACAAGTTGAATACAATTTGGACACACACCAAGAGGTCAAATATACAACATGTTGGATATAACATGATATAACTATCATGTAAAAAATACACATATGTGTTGTAAAACACATCTACAACCTACAACAGTTGATACTTACGTGTAAAATGTATGCTGCTCAGGTGTGTTAATTGGGAGGGTAGTGAGTGTTACGCGTACACAATCCTGGCCATGAGAATTCCAATCCCTTTGATTAGAAATGATTGGAAACAGGGGTTTCAAGGAAGTAGCTGTCGCACCTAGCTTATGATTGTGCTTGTGTTGACAATATGCATCCCAACCCCAAACAAAATATCTGATGAACCATTTCCGAACTCAGCAGCGGTCATCGGAGTATGGATCCCAGTGTCCAAATGAATCCGAATTTGTGATCCTGGGCTGTGTTGCATGTTGAACGCAACACCATACCATGTACGCATGAAATGCATATAGAATCATGTAGGTACATGATGATACATGTATACACATATATATATACCAAGAAACATGGGTGATAACTGGGGTAAACGCACGTAACGCAACATTGCATTAATGAACCGCACTACATTAATGATAGAAAAAACAATACGTCATTGGCAGTCTGCATTCCCCTAGGATCCGGTTAGGTTATAAATAGTCTTTTTAGGTTATCATCCATGATTTCTTGATGATAGTCTATATAGATTATTTCGAAAGCTTATCACGAAATCACGATAAGCTTTTGCAAGGTTAGTCTTTGTTAAAAAAAAGTAGACACACAAGATAATTTGTGAAAATCGGAGAAGGACATGGACACTGGAAACGGAAACGAGATGACGAAAAAACCTGTCTGATTCCAATGACGGAACTTTTTTTCACTCAATGCATGACACTGAAAGTGCAGATTTTCCTTTGAATTAGCGCTTTGAATTAAAGCGCGCTTAAAATTGCAGTATTGCTGTGCATTTCAGTGTGCATTTGGTGTTTCCAAATCAGTTGTGTGCGTCGATGCTTCACCAGAATCAGGTAACGAGCCAAAGTATGTGCTGACGTTGAATCCTTGGATTGCTTTGGAAGACAAATGTTTGAAATCTGACACATGGTAACTTGAATCCAAATGAGGCAACATGTTTTATCATATATATAAATAAAAAATGATTTTTTAGTACAAATTTTGACAAATATTACATAAATCGAAAAAGTGAAGTTAAATTTTGTTCAAAGTTTAGTTCAAACTTTAAAAATAGAATTTAAAGTTTATAATAAACTTTGAAGGTTCACCTTCAAAGTTTATAATTTAACATTAGAAACTTTGAAGGTATTATTTTAAGTTTAATATTAAAATATCTAAAACTTTGAAAGGTAACTTGTCAAATTTTAAATGACTGATTTGAAACTTTGAATTTATAAATCAAACTTTGAATATATCTTCAAAGTTTAAAATGTTTACTTTAAAACTTTGAATTTTGAATTCAAAGTTTTAAGAAGTTTCTATTCAAAGTTTATTCAAAGTTTGAATTTAATATTCAAAGTTTGCTTAAAACTTTGAATATAAAATTTCAAAGTTTGATTTAAACTTTGAATCTAATCTTTTAAAGTTTGAAACAAACTTTAATCAAACTTTAAATGCAACAAAACTTTTTTTTAAAATTTATTGACACGAAAATATGATATAAAGGAAAGTTAATCTACTTATTTCTTTGCACTCATGTATGCAGAGTGATAACTAATTAAAATAATAAACCATATATTTTAATTTATCTGCAGAGACTGTTGGTTGAAATCAAAGACAATTTGATCCAGCCTTCTGCGCAACATCGTCTCTGCAGTAGACAGCGCAATTACAAAAATGACAAGAAAAAACACGAAAACAAAACTTGAGAACCACATGGAAAAAATAAAACAAATCCAATGTACATGTTGCATTAAAAAAACAAAATGTTCAATTATAAGATATATTGAAAATACTTCCAAAATTATCAGCATATATGTTCTTCATTCCCTGATAATAGACTATCACCAAGTATGTGATAACCCCCGTAAAGACTATCGTAAAATGATGATAACCTAGACTATATCCTGTCTATTAATAACCTAACCGGATCCTAGGGGTTCACCAGGGCACCAGGGGAAAAAACAATCATTTACGTTGCACTAGGATATTGTAACCGTTGTAACCTCAACATGTGTGTGTGTGTGATTTACCCACGTGTTCGAATAAGTTGCATCTATATAAACAGTGTTGTTCCCCACTGGTAATCCCACATCAGACCATCATCCCCTGAGCATCCCACAGAGGAGATCCAATTCCTTGCAGGGCAAAATTGAACTGCTTTGAAACATGGAAGTTTCCTAAGTCATGGGGGACCCCCAAATCATCCACTTTACTGGGATGTTCCATGATTTTCCATCATAAAGCATCCTTTTGGGGGTACCCCCATGTATGGAAACCCCAACATGGAACCATTGGTCAAAAATGCGAAACCCAACAGGGCATGTAAAAAATACTCTGTGCATCCCGAGTAAACGGATAAATAAAAACACCAAACATCACCAAACATACCAACATCAAAACAATACCACTGCAGCCGAACCAGGGATTCAATATGACACAAACACTTATTGTAGTCACAGTCACATTTCATGACATGTGTTTCATTTTCTTCACGCGCATGCCTTCCCAGTACCCGTTTGCAAGTTATGTCGTGCCCACCAATACCTCGGTTGTATTCAATGGGGCAACGTGGCGGTTGAACAAATCATCAGTATGTGGAATTCAACATTTACCAAAATTTATTCAACTGTTTGTAACCATAGTTGAATCGGTTTGTAGCTGGGATAAACCCACTAAGGGATTCGCCAACCAACTGTGTGAATCTGAAAAAAAATAGTCAGCCACGCTAGCAAAATTTTGTATACGAATGACATGTTTTTCCGTGTTTTTTCCCCAGCCTGCCAGGTGAGGGACGCTATAGTTTTACAAAGGTGCAACTCCTACGACTCCAGGACGCGTGTGGTGTGGGTGTGAGATGGTCCCCTGGGGCAATTTGAGAATGCTTCATGAATCTTACCAGGGCATTAAACGGCTATCTTCACATTCCATCATGATTGTCAGTGCGGCCACGGTATGCGTACCGTCACTAAAACTGTGAACACCCAACCATTTGGTAACTACTTTAGAAAATCTACAATGCGCATGCAACGGCGCTATTCAGCCAAGGCGAAGAATTCCACACACTTTCAGTGCAATGCCTTCTGCTACCTGCTTAAACCTCATCATCCAGTGGAAACAGGCTGGCATGTAAAGATCAGTCGGACAAGCAAGCATGGCTGTGAAAAAAACAATTGTGTTTGTACTACGTCACATGGGCCAGGCCCATGGTCAATGTAACCAACGCTGCACGCTTGAGGGCACCACCGAACCCGAAGGCTGTTGATTGGCCGGCGCCCTGTCTACCCCCTGAAAAAGGAAGACGCATGAAGCCATTTTGCTGGCAATATTTAGGTGCACCCAAAACAGAACCGGTTTCTCTACAAAAGAAATCCTTGCCCAACCAACCAGCCAATGGAAAACCTGCAATAAGAGCTTTGACGGTGCCAAGCGTCTGCGTAGTTCTGCGTGGTTCGCCCACAACCTGCACACCGGAAATTTGAAGATGACGGGGTTGCGCTGCAAGTGGGATAATATACTGTTTTAGCCATGAAGGCTTTAACCTCCATGAGTTTGGGTAAATCCCCGCTACCTACATCGTTAATGAAACTGCGCCAAGGGGTTTTACCAGAAAGATTCATCAAGTTGGGACGATCGATCTAGTGGTTGGGCCCGTTGGGCCTCCACAGTCCGGGACAACAGTGACTCTGAATCAGATGGTTTGAAATTTGTCTCTAGCTTTCTGAAACCAAGCAAGATGTTTTTAGCCGAATACTGTCCTCGCGTGCCTTGAACAATTGCAAACATCATGTGGGAGATCAGGCATCCCTTTGCACAGGTGACTATCTACATTCTTTTCTTGTGTTTCTAATTTTTCAGGAAAACAAATGATGACAAAAGCACATCAGATGTGTGGACATCTGAGATGTCAACATGCTATCTTTGCTCAGCCCTCAGCCTTTTGAGCCCGTGGTCGTATCATACAGACCAAACTGGTGTCCAATAGATACAGCCCTAGGGCTTGCCCGAAAACCCAACCTCAGGGTGCAGTTCTAGTACCCTCTGGTAATGACTGACTAACAGTTTTCTATGGAAAATGCCAATCTTTGATAGGTAAATCAACTAATTCGACTGGGTCATGTTCAATAGCAAACTGTTAGTCATTACCAGAGGGTAATAAGAATGTTCTAAGCGAATATCGAACCATAGTTCATGGTTAAATCCATGGTTAAATCCCAACTCATGCAGGTGACTTTTCTCGCCAAGCCGACACAAGCCCTGTACTGTCCCCAAGAAACCAATCCTTCGGTGGAGCCCCATACTTCGCTAGTCGTTGGTGCTGTGGATGGGTGAAACCAGATAGATGGGATAAATGATATACTATAAGATATATAATTCATTAAATATAAAATAAATAAATAAATATATATATATATAATCTGGTTGATGGTTTATCAACTGGTGCATGATTTCTCTGGCCCATCCACAGTAGTGACTGTGGCATCACCTTGTAGCCTGCCCACGGGCCCACGATAGCTAAGTTGGCGCTAAAATAACTCCCCTAAGTGTTAAAAAAAGGGAATATATCAAACTACTGGGGAGTAATTTGAAAACCAACGTTCACATCATTGGGTACCATCTTCTATGGATTTGTATGCCTTTTTCTTCGGTAGCTTCCTTTGCCTGAGATGGCGTTGGAAGTCTATGATTTCTGGGGTCCATGTCAGCTTCACTTCCAGATTTCGTGGGATCAAATGAGAAACTTCTCGAATCCAAACGATGTGCGATTTCTTGGGATATCTTGGAATAATCATAGAATCCATGTGTGCTGTCTACTGTCATCGCACATCCAAGGATTCGCTGGGCGAATCAAGCTGGCGTGGACCCAAATCGAACTCACGATCCAGGCCCAAAAAGAAACATCGGACTAGTTAGCCCAGCAAAACATCATGTGGATATATATACATTATATATAAATAATTATATCTATATATATATATATATATACATTTATATGTGTATATATATGTATATTATACAATTATACACCCTCTGGTAAACTTTGACATAACTATGGAAAATCACCATGCTATTAATGGGAAAACTCACTATTCCTATGGACATGTTCAATAGCAAACTGTTAAAATACCAGAGGGTAATTTGTATAATATACACAAATAGATGGGACAAATCAGTGAAATATTCTGAAAAACTGAGGTGTTTTGGGTTCAGGGTGAGTGACTGACTTGTAAATTGATCTTGTTAAGGTTCTCAGCTGGAAACGCAGTTGTATCTGGATGCTGATCCCCCCGAAAGTCCGTGGCTATGGACAGTCCATTTGATTTTGCCATGGAAACAAAATATATATAAACCTTACAGCTCCAAACACCTTCTGAGACTGCATTTGGAGTTGAAATTTGGGTTCTAAACACCTTCTCAGAAGATATTTGGAGCATTAGGGAAAGGATTCTCCAGAGAAGGTATCCGGAAAATCGTCGATGATCATCCCATGTTTCCTTCGATGAACAGTTGGGTTTAAGCTGGGATTTTCGACTGCCACGTTACTTGACCAAAGGGTAAAACGTGGCTGGTGATTCAGTCCCAAAAATGTCGGTTAAGATCATCATGTCAGTTGGGATGAGAAACTGGGTGAACGTTTGAGCATTCAAAAGCCTGAAGCATCCCTAGTGTTTGATTGGCGCTTCCATCATGGACCATCATAGTCATAATCCCAATACACCACAAGTTGGTGCCACCTAGTTCTGTATGTTGCTTTGTAACTCCAGGAGCTATAGAGGCCAAACAAAAATGCCGTAAACTATGATTAACCTACTTTGTTCAACCAACTGAGCTAGCATAAATCACCTGTATATCACCTGTGTGTTTGCTTATAAAGGCTTCCATTTTTAATGGTCATCACTACCTATCAACTGTGGGCACCACCTGGTAGTACAACGCCTAGAACCCGCTCTCACCCGTGCGCGTGAATTATGCCCCCATAGGTTGACGCTGGTGAATCGTTGAGCAGTTTACAGTTATGGCCCCTAACAGTTATAAATGGGACTAAAACTCCTATATAAGGTGTACTAAGGTTATATGTTATATATCATTATAATCACAGTTATAACTGTTAAGGGCCATAACTGTAGGACTAATTGATTGCATTAAAACCAAGGATTGGGAGTACATGTTAAATTCCTACCCACTTCAAAGATCTTCAGAGCGCCTCAAACTGTTTGGCAGATTGCCACAGCTTGGGATGAGAACTTCGTATTTAAGTGACATATCAAGCCACAACACACCCTCCGGCAATCAAACATGATTGGCTGGAATTAAAAAAAATAGTCCCCGGCTATAAACCTTACAGCCAGTCATCTTTGATTCTCGGAGGGTATATATAACAGATACAAATTGGGCAATCTGGCTGTTGCTACAATGGCCCTGCGCTGACTCTGCTGCTTTCAAACATGTGGATTTCCACATGAAAGTATAGCCAACACCGTCTGGTTGGTGATGCAATAGCCATCTTGAAAAATAGGAGTTCGTCAATGGGAAGGATGACATCCCATATAGGAAATGGACAATAAGAGCCATGTTTGAAACCACCAACCAGCCATTGATTATACGAAGAATAGCTATCATGTGCATCATTTCATCGCATTGTTCTGTATCAATTTGCTAAATACATCTGCATCGATTGGGGTTTGTATGAAAAAACACATATCCACTTTTTGGTCAGTTCAACTGTCAAGGCTACCATGGGCTACCCGATTTTCAGACAGCCCCTAGCAATACATTTAATTAACTTGGGGGTCAAGGTGCTGGGGATCATTCGTAAGGATGGCACAAGGCAAGCACAGTAACCAAAAACGGATACCCAACTACATCTATAAACGGGTTTCAAAGAGAGTTTTCTACTCCATTACCTGGAACAACCAACCAGTTGGAAAAAACGTGGAGATCATCTGTCTATTCGACATCGGGCATGTAGGAATTGGAAAAACGGCACAATTGCAGGACACCCCTCCATTCAGGAGGGAGAAGCATGGCTTCACCATGTGTCCTACATAATGTCTAAAAACCAGCCCCACATGTCCATATGAAATCACCATGTTTAATGTCAAAATACCAATGTTTTCTGCATTAAACATGGTAATTTAATACATTTAATATGGATAAACAAGGGATGTTCACCATCAAAATGTCACAAGGTAGATGTTTCAGTGATACTTCTTGGCATTAATTGGTCACCCAACCTGCGTCTTCAAGACCTCCTCGTAACGTTCAGCTGAAAGCAAGCCTTTCCTTGGAAGTTCTTTTGGAAGTTCTTGTGCAACGCTGTGCTTTGGAACCCGGAAAGCTGAGTGGTAAGTGGTGGGGTGCCAATGCGCTGATGGGATTTATACCCAGTTAGATTCCACAGATCTGTCATTTTGCTGCTTTCACTATCTATATAATGTGGTTAAAACAATGTCATAAACTACCCGTTTTGGAATGGTTTATACCACCCATAAAAATGGTGATTTAAGAGATGGTTGATTATTGTTTTAACCACATTCTATCATGGTCTGGAGCAAATTTCAAAATGAAAATGAAACTATGGAGAACAATGGATTCATGCTATATCATGCTATAGAAGGGTTTATCTCAGGTGGGGGGATATTTCACTAGCTTCACAACATAGCCAGATCTTCCATGATATCTATGACATAAAATACCATGCCGTGATGTCCAATATCCCGATACGTATCCATCATATCATGTCAACTGCTATCGTTGGGGGTCATCAGATCTCAAGGAATTCGAAAAAAATTGCCCTGGCCTAAGAGTTATGAAAACTGGGAGTTATGGGCCAATTCACAGTTATGATGATTTATAGTCCAGTTGTGGACCCAAAAAACACTTATGGCTGGGAGTATTTCATGATATAAATTTAAAACCTATCTAAAAATACCACTGGGATTATTTCATGATAAACCTACTAATTAGTTATAGGAGTTAGAACTCATCTCAGTTTAATAACTGTGGACCATAACTCTATGATTCACTACGTTCAGGATTTCACCGATTCACAGGGGTTTCCTATGGAGATCCCCAATAGGATGGTTTTGGGTCAGGGAAAATCCCAATTCTTTGAAGATGATAACTAGGGGTACCCCATATATTTTCCACAGTCAAAGCCCATAGTACCAGCGTTTGGCGAATCATTCCTGACTATAAATCAGTTGACTTACTGACCTTTATTTGGTCGCCAGAACTCAGTGCCAAGTTTAGATACCCTGCAAAGAATTGTATAAATTCTTAGCTGGTGAACCTAGATAATCCCATTGATACCGAAACCCGTGTAAGATTGACCTAATCTATGATAGTATATAGTCTAAGGCATTGACCTATAACCTATATTATTGACCCTATGTAAAGGATTAGTTTGTACCCATGTATGATTGACCTATATTGACCTAGACATGGCAAGCTGCTGCAAGTGCTTGATGAGATCCAAGTTCAACACCACGTCGTTCCGCGTCTCAGCAGCGCGTTTTCCGCGGCGATATGGCCACGCGTGTGGTGATATGGGCCCCCCTCTATATAGCAAGTTTAACAAATATTAGGGAAGAATTGGGAAACTGAAGGAAACTGAAGGAAACTGAAGGAAACTAAAGGATACTGAAGGATACTGAAGGATACTGAAGGATGAGGGAAAACATGGGACCATGGGCAATTTTGATGGGAACCTGTTCAAAATACATATGATAAACCATGATAAGCCATGGATAAACCATGATAAGCCATTGGAAAGCATCAAAATCTACGGTACCTGATGGCCAGGACTTAGGGCCTCCAAGGAATCCTGTACTCGCATCACGGGCATTTGGATGCTCATCCTCTATTCAGTTTGAAAGAACAGGATTTTACAGCAATTTCATGGAGTTTCTATGCATCAGATACCCTCTGGTAAATTAACGTACACCCTGAAAATCACCAATTTTTAGTGGAAACTAGTCTTCCAACCCCTATCTGGCAGGGTCTATGTTAATTTCCTGGAGTGTATATGAAAACAAGAAAACAAGAATAACTATATATAATACACTGTGGCGTAGTATATTCCTCTTCCATGGAAATTCAATATATTCTATGTCATTCTAAGTTTAGAGGAACTTCCATTATAAAGTTATATATAATGATATGTTTTCCAAAAATGACATAGCTTACAATACAATATTATGAATATCCTCGGATTATAAGAACCCGTTTCTCCATAACCCGTTTCTCATCCCTTATCCATTTCATTGGCTTTGTGTAAGATCCTAATGTTTCTGATAATTATATAAAGTTGGAACTTGAGGAATTTCCATGTTTTTTTCCCCTGGTTAACACATTTGAAACTGGTGGAACGTTTCCATCATTAATAGAAAAATTAATGGTTTTTGTCCAAGTGTTTTTTCTGTTACCCTTCAGTAAATTAAGAGTTCAGCCCTGCCAGATAGGGCTGGAAGATTAGTGAAACCACTAATGGGTGATTTTCAGGGTCGAACTGTTCATGTTCAGACTATAATGATCATTCTAATATAATTTCCATTGTGAGACTACGAGTATCCCTAATTATTTCCCGTGTTAATTTACTTCAATATTTCCATCTATTTCCCTTATTCTTTCCATACATGTCCATACATATCCATGTTATGTTCCATATATTTGTCATATATTTTCCATATATGTTCCATATAAATATATATATATTTTCTTCTCCATATATGTTCCATATGTTTTCCAAATTTCCAAATATGTTTCATATATATTCCATATTTTCCATATTTTTCATATATTTTCCATATATTTTCCATATATGTTTCATATTTTTCATATATTTTTCATATATTTTCCATATATTTTCCATATATTTTTCATATTTTTCATATATTTTTCATATTTTTTTTTCGTTTTTTTTCTGACAATTCTACGATCTTCCCAGTTTGTCGCGGCACCCAAGGCTTGGAGATGGCGTCCACGAAGAAGCGCCTGGGGCGAAACTCGTTCCCCCGGGAGCTTCGGATGGCTTCACCTGGAAAAACATAGGGAAAACCATGGGGAAAAAATGGTGAAAAACCATAAGAAAAACATAGGAAACGGAAAACCCTAGGAAATGTTGGGAAAACCCTAGGAAAACCATGGGCAAAACAAACCATGGGAACCATGGGAAAACCCATAGGAGGAAACCCATAGGAAAGAAAAGCATAGGAAATATTGGGAACATATGTAGTATATGGGGATTTGAGGCTGAACAGTGCATATTCCGTGATTCTTGTGGGGTTATAATACTGACCATACATGGTGTGATGACTTACAAAGTGAAAACAACACTGGTACAACTCGGGCCATAAGTGTATGTTGAAATCTTGAAGAAATCTAGGATAAGCATGGATAAACAAGAATAACATGAGGATTGAATGTCAGAATCAAACATAGGGGGAATTGTGATTCTAAGACAAAGAACATGGAAATATGTAACATTATGTAACCAACATTAACCAACAATATGGGGGTTTCCCCACATCAAGGGACTTACCTCTATCTGCTGGCCGTTTAAACAAGAGGGGTACCTGTGTCGATATGGGAATCCACGCAGTACATGTGGGGGTTTCCAAATATGGGGGTACCCCTAAATCATCCATTTTAGATTGTGATTTTCCATGAAATAAACCATCCATTGTTCAGGTACCACCATTTATGGAAACCTCCATGCGTTTCCATGGTGCATCCATCCTTCGCGGAACTTCCCGGAGGACTTCGCTGTCGAGAGGCTCCTTTTTGTTCGGCGGCAGATCACGCTCTAGCAGCCTCAAGAATTTCACCGCAACGAGCGACACCCTGTAGGCGAAATGGGATTTATAGTGGATTTATCTCTAGGTCAGCTGGGGATATAGTACTAGGGAACCCTTCCCTGCAACCCAGTGGATGTTTATTTTTTTGGGGATCAAACAACATGAGTCGCATTGTTAGTGTTCGACTGATCAGGGAATTGCTGGCGACATCGTGTGCTCAGTTAGTCATCGACTGGATGATCAAGCCATGATGCATTCGCATGGGCCAGGATGCCCTGTCACAATTTGTGAGTCATAATGGGTTCCAAACATTTTGGAGTTATGTGATCTTGGGATACTTGGTTACTTTTCTGGGCAGGTTGCAAAGGAAGTACGCCTGAGGCTGGACGCTTCCCTTGGGCAAGAGATATGGGTCACTCATCTCATTCGACTTGTAGCGCGCGGCCAGCTTTGTAGCGGAAAAGAATAAGTACTGTAGTTAATTATAGTTATCATATCAACTACCTATCTGTCCCAAAAAAAGGTGATGTCTAGGAGTCTAGGGATATAAAGAAGGTATATTTAGTGTACAACCAACCAATATAGGCATTCTGGATCAGTTACAACAGTTCACAAACCTAGAAATTTCGGTCATTTTGAGATAGTTCCAGGGAAACAAAGAAACACCATTCCTCCCACGTGAGGTCGTTCCGTTGCATTCCATCATCTCCCTGTGACATCCACACAAAAAAAATATGGTTAGAATGGGAATAAAGCCACAATTTGGGGGTATCTTCAGACAGACCCATTGAAATGTATACGAACTTTCCCATGAACAATAGATATCAATAGATACATTTACCAAGAAAAACAAGCAATATTTGTCATACACCAAGCTGGCAAAACCTGGCGAACAAACTGGGGCACCACCTTGTATGTGTACGGGCACTCATTAATTGCCTAAATATTGGTTATGTAGGTAAATTCACCCTACCAGAGAATTTAACATAGCTATGGAAAATCATCATTTTCAATAGGTAAATCCACTATAAATGGGGTATTTTCACTAGCTATGTTAAATCACCAGAGGGTACATATCATAATATGTCATATCAAGTGCCAACATGTGACAATATATTCAGACAAAATAAAAAATATTCCATTTTATTCTGATTATATAGATACAAGCATTTGCAACATCCGCGTCATCAACCCGATTTTGTCGCGACCTCGTCATGGCCAAAACGTCATGGGATCTGCCAATTGGTTTCCCTGAAAATCGGTATACCCGAAACCCACTTATCAACACTTTTTCAACATATTGATTTATATATATAAACCCCATTGAATATAGATATATCTGCCATAAACTGTTGTGTTTACAAACTCATTTAAAGCTTACAGAAATCAACTATGAATCCACAAATTTATTGGTTATACGTACCATTTCTAGTGATAAAATACCATTTGTCCGGGGCACCACTAGATATTAGATATTGTTGGTGACATAGTCATCAAGTCCCCATTGAAATCTCCATAATATTGCTGGACATATCACGATGTTCATTCAATTTCCCACACAGTAATTGTTCGGGTTGTGTATCCAAGGTGGTCATTTCTTACGTTGTATCGTACCCCATGTCAAACATGTCTGGATGGTGGTGTCAACCCCCTGAAGAAATAGTCATTTGGAATCAGCATCCCATTTCTATGGTTCATACCGCCATGCTCTCATCATTGGGATTAACTTCCATATGTGCTAGGGTCAAAGCACTGTACATGATTTGTGGTCATGCATCCTATATCGAGAATCCAACCACAAAGGTGCGGGCATATGAATCCCTAAAAAAAATGATGACCGTCCTCCCACAACTGAGTATACAATCCAGCTAAATTGACCATAGCCCAAAAAAAATGTTTTTTTTTTTAAGAAAAATAGATGAAGTAGATTTTCCTAGTTAAGTAGGTTTATAGCCTCCACTCCACTGGCTATAGATATATCTACTGATGTACATTGATTTATAGTTTATTAAACCACTTTCATATCATTCAACTTGTGATTATAGTTGGCTATATGTCCGACTAAATAGTGCCATGAGCATCCATGAAAATTACTTACCAAATAAATAGTTCAATCCAATAAATAGTTCAATCCAACTACCCTCTGGCAAACAAACATGGCTTGCTGCAAATCCCAGATTTAATTCCATGATTTTCGCAGCTATGAACTTCTTTCCATTGACATGTTTGGTTACTGGATGGTAACAATTTAATAATTTAAGCATGAAACCAACCAAAAACATGATTTATATATATATATATACACTGGTGGTTTATGATGTCTAAGTTGGTACAGTTAGTTGCTGTATAGTGGATTATACTTGGATTATTCCATTTTAAACCATTCCATTGCTTTTTGGCTTATAATGGGATATCTAACCATTACAAACTATAATGGGATTATTCCACTGACCGTTCCAGTGTAATTAAATGGATATGTCACAGAGTCACAACCATTACACCATAGAATTGAATCAATATCCCATGAAACCATAAATATAGCTGGCTGTGAATTATAACAGTGATATTTATGATATTATATTACAACAGCCATATTGGCTGTAACAGAGGCGACGAATTCCAATGAGCACCGGGGTTTGATTTCATCATGTCGTTAAACGAATTCGCCAACTGTGTGTGTCTGTATTTATCTAAGTTTCTTTTCTTGGAAAAGCCGGAAAAAGTCACAGAAAATTCATGGCTCATGGTTCAGGTTTCTGTACACCTTAGTTCTGGCTGTGATATTATCCCATTCTGTATATATATATATATACATTATTACACAGCCATAAGGCCATAAATATCCCATTTTGGATTCCATATATTATTCCATTCTGTATGCTTCTGTATACAGAATTAGGTTACCTGTGAATATCTTCAGTCTGTGAATTAACAGCCATTATTCCAGCCATATGACTTTCTTATCCGTTACTTATATGTATAATGATCAGGTATATTCTATACATATAATACCCATGAATATATATATATATATAGAAACAAAACATATATATATATATAATCTGCATATTATGTATATTCTAATATATATATATAAATACTATTCATATATAAGTTCTACACCCAACATGACCAGGTCTCTCCAAGTCACTGTGAAGCACGCGTCTCCACGGAGCTGATCACGCGGGAGAGCCGATCCAGGAAGACCTGGAGACGGACGATTTCTGGCGGATGTGGCAAAATTATGTTGATTTTATGGTGGCTTTAATGGGATTTAATGGTGATTTTATGGTGGTTTTAATGGAATTTAATGGAGATTGTATGGGATTTTATGGGGACTTTATGGGATTTTATGGAATTGTATGGTGATTTTAGTGGTATTTTATAGGGATTTTATGGTGATTTCATGGTGATTTCATGGGATTTTATGAGATTTTATGGAGATTTTATTGGATTTAACAGTTCGCGCTATTGAACGTGGCCCAGTCGAAATCGTTGATTTTCCAAATAAAAATGGTGATGTTCCATCCTTTTGTGAAAGTTTACCAGAGGGTATATCAACATTATCTGGTTGGTGGTTTCAACCCGTCTTAAAAATATGAAAGCCAGTTGGGATTATTATTCCCAATATGTGGAAAGTCATAAAAGCCATGTTCCAAACCACCAACCAGTTATGGTGATTTAGTGGGTTTTTATGGTGGTTTAATCTATAGAATCTTGAATTACCAGAACTAATTATACAGAATGGGATATGTAACTAGAGACTATTGACATGATTCTGGATCATCCACCCATAACCATCCAACATGTGAGTTTGAAACTGAAGGATTTAAGCCAAAAAGGTGATTTTACCAGCGAAAAAGGTGAGTTTAACATGTAAACAGCATAAATTGTGATTTAACTGATTTAACCAACAATATCAGGGGGCTAAACAAACCTGCGGGTTTAGCCGCAAAGAAAAAAGGATTTAACCTACAAAACTCCCAAACGTGAAATGTTTGTTGGTTTATAAACCCCATGAACTAGTTCGATGTATCTACCAAAGATGATAATTACTTAAATATACTTATGGTCACCAACTTAGCTATCGCTTGAAAGCGTCACCTTGCAGGTTGTAGAAACTTAGCTATCGCCCCAAGCGCACAGCGAGGTCATCTATCTCATCTTCTGATATCTTTGGGTACATGGTGGCACACTACCCACTTACTTACTAAGTTCTATCCCTAGTTATTTTTATGGGATAAGTAGTGTTAGCCCATTCAAAAACAAGATGCAGCCCACGAACCCGAATGCTCACACGTATGTTAATGGTACAGATGTCAAAACACATGGATATGCAATCACGCAGAACACTTTTCTGCAATAGTTTATTTAAACAGTCTTGTACACATTTCCCCTGTTACCAGTCTGCAGTGTGGGGTGTGGAGTGTAGCGTGTGGAGTGTAAAGTGTGGAGTGTAAAGTGTGGAGTGTGGAGTGTAAAGTGTAGAGTGTGGAGTGTGGGGTGGAAAGTGTAGAGTGTGGAGTGTGGAGTGTAAAGTGAAAAATGCGGAGTGTAAAGTGTAAAGTGTGGAGTGAGGAGTGTAAAGTGTAAAGTGTGGAGTGTAAAATGTAAAGTGTGGAGTGTAGAGTGCACAGTGTAGAGTGTAAAGTGTGGAGTGTAAAGTGTGGAGTGCGGAGTGTAAAGTGTAGAGTGTGGAGTGTGGAGTGGAAAGTGTCGAGTGTGGAGTGTGGAGTGTAGAGTGTGGAGTGTGGAGTATAAAGTGTGGAGTAAGGAGTGTGGAGTGTATAAAGTGTAGATTGTGGAGTGTGGAGTGTGGAGTGTAGAGTGTAAAGTGTAGAGTGTAAAGTGTAGAGTGTGGAGTGTAGAGTGTAAAGTGTAAAGTGTGGAGTGTGGAGTGAGGAGTGTGGAGTGTAAAGTGTGGAGTAAGGAGTGTAAAGTGTGGAGTGTAGAGTGTGGAGTGTGAAGTGTAAAGTGCAAAGTGTAAAGTGTGGAATGTAAAGTGTAGAGTGTGGAGTCTAAAGTGTAAATTGTGGAGTGTGGAGGGTAAAGTGTAGAGTGTGGGTTGGAGGGTTTGAAGTGTAAAGTGTGACCGTGTTTACAGTGTGGAAGTAAAGTGTGGGTGTCGAGTCGTGGGAGTGTGGTAGTGAGGAGTGAAAGGTAAAGTGTGGGGAGGTGTGGAGTAGTACAGTGTTAGAGTGTTGGAGATGTGGAGGTAAAAGTGTAAAGTGTAGAGTGTGGAGTGTAGAGTGTAAAGTGTAGAGTGTAAAGTGTGAAGTAAGGAGTGTGGAGTGTAAAGTGTAGAGTGTCGAGGTGGAGTGTGGAGTGAGGAGTGTAAAGTGTGGAGTGTGGAGTGTAAAGTGTAGAGTGTGGAGTGTGGCGTGAGGAGTGAAAAGTGTAAAGTGTGGAGTGTAGAGTTTGGAGTGTGGAGTGAAAAGTGTGGAGTAAGGAGTGTGGAGTGTGTAAAGTGTAGATTGTGGAGTGTGGAGTGTAGAGTGTAAAGTGTAGAGTGTAAAGTGTGGAGTGTGGAGTGTAGAGATTGTAGAGTGTGGAGTGAGGAGTGTAAAGTGCAAAGTGCAAAGTGTGGAGTGTGGAGTGTAAAGTGTGGAGTGCGGAGTGTAAAGTGTAGAGTGTGGAGTGTAAAGTGAGGAGTGTGGAGTGTGGAGTGTAAAGTGTGGAGTGAGGAGTGAGGAGTGTGCAAAGTGTAGAGTGGGGAGTGTAGAGTGTAAAGTGTAGAGTGTGGGGTGTGGAGTGTAAAGTGTGGAGTGAGGAGTGTAAAGTGTAAAGTGTGGAGTGTAAAATGTAAAGTGTGGAGTGTAGAGTGTAGAGTGTACAGTGTAGAGAGTAAAGTGTAGAGTGTGGAGTGTAAAGTGTGGAGTGTGGAGTGTAATGTAAAAGTCTCGAGTGAGGAGTGAGGAGTGTAAAGTGCAAAGTATAAAGTGTGGAGTGTAAAGTGTAGAGTGTGGAATGTGGAGGCTAAATTAAAGATGTCTAAAGTGTAAATTGTGGACTGTGGAGTGTAAAGTGTAGAGTGTGGAGTGCGGAGCTTCCCCTATAGACACGGCGACGCCACAGGAACACCTGAGACTCGAGACGAGACACATGTGTGCAGAAAAACGAGCATTTCGTGAGAGAATTCCTCTAATTTTGAAATTTTCGACACGTTATCAAACATGTTGGAATGTCACAAGGTTCCACGCCTGCCACGCAAAACGACATGACAACCTGCTTGGAAACCTTCGAAAAAGAGAGGTTTTGCAGCTTCCGATGCCACAGGAAAACCAGCGACTCGAGACGAGACACGTGGACGCAGAAAAACCAGCATTTCGTACGAGACTTCCTCCAATTTTCACACTCTGTAGCTTCAAAATCGACGTTTTCCTACGAGCTTTCGTAGGAACCTCTAAATTTTGCAACCTCAGGGTGAAAAGCCTGAAGTCTGAAGCACGCCTCTTTTCAAGCCGGGGGTGTGGAATGTCGCCAGGTGCGGGCAGGAGCGTACGTTTTTAGCCCCGCTTGGTGCCGGCACTCCCATGGTCAAGTCAGACCAACCTGGCACAACCTTGATCAAAAATTCCGGAGAAAGTATACATGTATGTATATGTCAAATCTCAGCGCCTGATGAACGCTGACTGAATCAAAATGTGCAACTGTTCTGGCATTCAGTTTTATGAACTCAACAATCGCATTCAATACCAAGGTCAAAAATTCACTGACTCACATTCAGTGAGAGAAATGGTAATGAAAAGGAAGGCAAGATCCCTCGAGAGGAAAGAAATCGGCACAATAAACTCACACCACATGTTGACATGAAAGAAAGGCTCATCTTGGCAACGGGTGTTGCTTGTAACCCGGTCATTTCCAGCAAGCCACCAATCCCAGCAGTATCCCGGCTCAAAATGTAAAGTGCAGAGATGTATTCACATGCATCACTGATGGGCCAGGGAAGCAAAGATGTTTTGGATGCCAATGACAAGATTGAAGCGAACAGAAACCCCGCCACAAAAGCACAAATCGCCAAACTTCCAGTCACTCGGGTTTAGCCGCAAAGAAAAAAGGATTTAACCTACAAAACTCCCAAACGTGAAATGTTTGTTGGTTTATAAACCCCATGAACTAGTTCGATGTATCTACCAAAGATGATAATTACTTAAATATACTTATGGTCACCAACTTAGCTATCGCTTGAAAGCGTCACCTTGCAGGTTGTAGAAACTTAGCTATCGCCCCAAGCGCACAGCGAGGTCATCTATCTCATCTTCTGATATCTTTGGGTACATGGTGGCACACTACCCACTTACTTACTAAGTTCTATCCCTAGTTATTTTTATGGGATAAGTAGTGTTAGCCCATTCAAAAACAAGATGCAGCCCACGAACCCGAATGCTCACACGTATGTTAATGGTACAGATGTCAAAACACATGGATATGCAATCACGCAGAACACTTTTCTGCAATAGTTTATTTAAACAGTCTTGTACACATTTCCCCTGTTACCAGTCTGCAGTGTGGGGTGTGGAGTGTAGCGTGTGGAGTGTAAAGTGTGGAGTGTAAAGTGTGGAGTGTGGAGTGTAAAGTGTAGAGTGTGGAGTGTGGGGTGGAAAGTGTAGAGTGTGGAGTGTGGAGTGTGGAGTGTAAAGTGAAAAATGCGGAGTGTAAAGTGTAAAGTGTGGAGTGAGGAGTGTAAAGTGTAAAGTGTGGAGTGTAAAATGTAAAGTGTGGAGTGTAGAGTGCACAGTGTAGAGTGTAAAGTGTGGAGTGTAAAGTGTGGAGTGCGGAGTGTAAAGTGTAGAGTGTGGAGTGTGGAGTGGAAAGTGTCGAGTGTGGAGTGTGGAGTGTAGAGTGTGGAGTGTGGAGTATAAAGTGTGGAGTAAGGAGTGTGGAGTGTATAAAGTGTAGATTGTGGAGTGTGGAGTGTGGAGTGTAGAGTGTAAAGTGTAGAGTGTAAAGTGTAGAGTGTGGAGTGTAGAGTGTAAAGTGTAGAGTGTAAAGTGTGAAGTAAGGAGTGTGGAGTGTAAAGTGTAGAGTGTCGAGGTGGAGTGTGGAGTGAGGAGTGTAAAGTGTGGAGTGTGGAGTGTAAAGTGTAGAGTGTGGAGTGTGGCGTGAGGAGTGAAAAGTGTAAAGTGCAAAGTGTGGAGTGCGGAGTGTAAAGTGTAGAGTGTGGAGTGTGGAGTGTGGAGTGTGAAGTGTAAAGTGTACAGTGTACAGTGTGGAATGTAAAGTGTAGGGTGTCGAGCGTGGAGTGTGGAGTGAGGAGTGTAAAGTGTAAAGTGTGGAGTGTGGAGTGTAAAGTGTAGAGTGTGGAGTGTGGAGTGTAAAGTGTAGAGTGTGGAGTGTAGAGTGTAAAGTGTAGAGTGTAAAGTGTGAAGTAAGGAGTGTGGAGTGTAAAGTGTAGAGTGTCGAGGTGGAGTGTGGAGTGAGGAGTGTAAAGTGTGGAGTGTGGAGTGTAAAGTGTAGAGTGTGGAGTGTGGCGTGAGGAGTGAAAAGTGTAAAGTGTGGAGTGTAGAGTTTGGAGTGTGGAGTGAAAAGTGTGGAGTAAGGAGTGTGGAGTGTGTAAAGTGTAGATTGTGGAGTGTGGAGTGTAGAGTGTAAAGTGTAGAGTGCAAAGTGCAAAGTGTGGAGTGTGGAGTGTAAAGTGTGGAGTGCGGAGTGTAAAGTGTAGAGTGTGGAGTGTAAAGTGAGGAGTGTGGAGTGTGGAGTGTAAAGTGTGGAGTGAGGAGTGAGGAGTGTGCAAAGTGTAGAGTGGGGAGTGTAGAGTGTAAAGTGTAGAGTGTGGGGTGTGGAGTGTAAAGTGTGGAGTGAGGAGTGTAAAGTGTAAAGTGTGGAGTGTAAAATGTAAAGTGTGGAGTGTAGAGTGTAGAGTGTACAGTGTAGAGAGTAAAGTGTAGAGTGTGGAGTGTAAAGTGTGGAGTGTGGAGTGTAATGTAAAAGTCTCGAGTGAGGAGTGAGGAGTGTAAAGTGCAAAGTATAAAGTGTGGAGTGTAAAGTGTAGAGTGTGGAATGTGGAGGCTAAATTAAAGATGTCTAAAGTGTAAATTGTGGACTGTGGAGTGTAAAGTGTAGAGTGTGGAGTGCGGAGCTTCCCCTATAGACACGGCGACGCCACAGGAACACCAGAGACTCGAGACGAGACACATGTGTGCAGAAAAACGAGCATTTCGTGAGAGAATTCCTCTAATTTTGAAATTTTCGACACGTTATCAAACATGTTGGAATGTCACAAGGTTCCACGCCTGCCACGCAAAACGACATGACAACCTGCTTGGAAACCTTCGAAAAAGAGAGGTTTTGCAGCTTCCGATGCCACAGGAAAACCAGCGACTCGAGACGAGACACGTGGACGCAGAAAAACCAGCATTTCGTACGAGACTTCCTCCAATTTTCACACTCTGTAGCTTCAAAATCGACGTTTTCCTACGAGCTTTCGTAGGAACCTCTAAATTTTGCAACCTCAAAATCTATGTTTCGTGCGAGGATTTCGTCAATTTTCAGTTGTCGCCAGTTGACGCAGCCCTGCCAATGCGATTTGCAAAAAACACACGACACGACACGTCTAAAGTGTTGCGCCTGCCACGCAAAATGACGATGGACACGTCCAAAGTGCTTCGCCTGCCACGAAAACTGCCACGCATCTTCTGAAAACGTCGCAAAAGTATTGCGCCTGCCACGCAAAACGACTTTCGACACGTTACAAAACACGTCTGAATGTCACAAAGTGCCGCGCCTGCCACGCAAAACGAAGCAACGAGCCGTTTTAACCTCCAAAAATGACCCGATCTGCAGAACTTACCATAGGCACGGCCATATAATAGCAATCGCGCGGACGGTTGCGAACGGTTGCGGACGGTTGCGGACGGTTGCGAACAGAAACGCAACTTCGAGCGAACACACCCTCAGCCCCCAGACCCAGACCCCCAGAGTAAAACGGGAACCCTTGCTACGCATTCGAGAAAAATGGGTGAACTAACCCACTTACTAAGTGGAATGAGCCACCAAGTATGGTTTTCCTAGGGTTTTCCTATCCAAGACCCTCCAATGATACATTTATTTGTGTATCGATTTTATTTTGCTCGTGCTGTGGATTTTCGCTCGTTTGCAAAAAACTGCTCTTTTGCAGAAAAAATGCTCGAGGGGGTTCATTCCTGCCCCATTGTCAGTTGGATTTGTTACAGTTTTTGAATTTGCGGCTTTTTGCACTTTTTTGCGACTTTTTTGCGCAAATTTTCGCTCGAACTAGTGTCGCATCAAAGCAAGCAATTCCTGTTTTCAGTCGAGCTCGGGTAGCCAAGAGAAAATAGACCGAACTCAGGAAAATTGCTCGGATCAGAAATTCGCGCTACGAACCGGAAAAAGTGTATCGAGTTGTCGATTTCTGGATCGAATGAACATAGGGGCAAAAAAAAAGTGCTACGTTGGAAGGTCCTGGATGGTTTTGACCATTGTCCCATGGTTTTCCTATGGTTTTCCCATGGGTTTCCATCGTTTGCTGCGGGTTTGTCTGAAAATAGAGCCCCGCCAAATTCCATGGCCCCGGTTGAAATGCAATAAATTAGGGGTACACGACTGCCGTTTTCAGAGACATACAAATCCTATTCTTGGTATAATAATGATATAATGATAGGATTAAATATGTAATTATATAATGATATAGCAAATGTAACATGATATAATGATATACCCATAAATCACAATTATTGGTTGTGTATGTAAATATACATATATATATATAATTAATTATATATAATGTCTAAATGTTAACCAAGAAATATCCCCAAGATCCTCGAACTTGATTTAGGATGAGACCCGTACGATTTCACCAACACTTGGCTTGTTAAATCCGCCGTTGAAATGCTGAGTGTCTAAACTTTCGAAGCGATTAAATGACCTGAAAAATACATGATGAAGGCATGTTATAATTCAAACAAAACCAACCGGTAACCAGCATAAATTGCTCACAAATCATCTTGTTTTTTTTGCAGATAAAAACGTTACATCATATGACCATCCCTAGGCTTCCAAGCACTTTCTGAGAAGTTATTTGCACGCCGCCAAATTATTCCTATAGATCACCTTCTGAAGTGTCACTAAAGGACATGTTTGCTATTTTTTGAGACCATCCAGTCAACAGAGTCTATAACCAGATGAGTGATAGATCTTCCACAAATCAAAACATCGACCAAAAAACCGATTCAATCTGCCTCATGCAGATATATCCATATATATCCTAGGTATCTAAATCAGATTTCAACTTCAAAAAATCCATGGCTCTAAATGGTGGTTTCAATATCCATGGGGGGTACCCGGGATCCCCTAGGCCTCCCATGGCCTCCCCGGGTGCATGCCACTGAAGGTCAATCGGCTCGACACCCAACAAATGTTCGCCTCGGCGTCGATGACGCCGGGAAGCCCACTGGTGATTTTTTTAAAAAAGCCACCAAAAAAAAAAGTGATTTTTTCTGGGATTATTTCATGATATAAAAGTTATAGTTATACCAGTAGTACCGCACAAGGCGGTGGCGGAAGTTTCAAAAATAGGAAACCTATAGGAGAAATTGGTTGTTGTGAATCAGGGATGGCAGAGCGAAGCCACTGATGGACTGAAAGGTGCTTGATCTCTCTCACTCTTTCTCTCTCTTTCTCTGGCTATCTACCTACCTACCCATCTATTTTCTATGTATCTATCTATCTGTTGATCTAGCTATCTATCTCTCTCTTTCTCTCTTTCATCTCATTACCTATCTACCTATCTACCTACCTATCTATCTATCTATCTATCTTTTTTTTCTATCTTTCTATCTATCTATCTATCTATCTCTCTCTCTCTTTCATCTGTCTATCTGTCTAGCTGTCTATCTATCTATCTATCTCTCTCTCTCTCTTTCATCGGTCTATCTATCTATCTATCTATCTATATCTATCTATCTATCTATCTATCTCTCCATCTATCGATCTATTGTTGTTGTAGTTGTAGTTGTTGTGGTTGGTGTTGTTGTTGTTGTTGCTGTTGCTGTTGTCGTCGAAGTTAGGGTAGTTAAGTTAGTGAAGTTAGTTAAGTTAGTCAAGTTAGTTAAGTTAATCAGTGTCTACTTTTTCGACATCTTCACGTTGTTGTTGTTGTTGTTGTTGTTGTCGTTGCTGTTGCTGTTGTCGTCGAAGTTAGGGTAGTTAAGTTAGTGAAGTTAGTTAAGTTAGTCAAGTTAGTTAAGTTAATCAGTGTCTACTTTTTCGACATCTTCACGTCAAAAAAGCTCAAACCCTCAGTTTTTTACACTTTTGACTTCGAAATGTGCTTCGCGACACAACGGCGTGCACTTTTTTGACACTTTTTCGACATCTGAACCTCCAAAAGTGGTCCGAGACCGTCAGTTTTTAACACTTTTGACTTGGAAATGTGCTTCGCGCCACAACGGCGTGCACTTTTTCGACATCGCAACTTCCAAAAGTGGTCCGACGCTGAGGTGTTTTGTACATTTTGACTTGGAAATGTGCTTCGCACCACAACGGCGTGCACTTTTTCGACATCATAACTTCCAAAAGTGGTCCGAACCTGGTGTGTTTTGTACATTTTGACTTGGAAATGTGCTTCGCGCCACGGCGGCGTGCAATTTTTCATCGTTCCTGTGGCCAGCTGGGTCCGCACCCGCCGCTTTAGCGAGCCTACTTTTCGACCCTCCGGAGCCACAAATCATTGGAAAAACACAGTGTTTCGCGACTTTCCTACCTTTTCGCGCATCTGTATCTTCTGTCCTCTTACTCTTTCTCTTCTGATCTTCTCTCTTCTAATCTTCCTCTTCTCTCTGCCTCTGCCCTGCTCTGCTTTTCATCTGTCCATATTGTCGGAAGTTTGACTTCTAAACTTCCTTCGATAATATATAGTTATAGTGTTTTTTTTGAACAAAAGCAGTTACATTACCTATATTTGTTTGACAAAATATAACTATTGCTTCAACTAAAATGATATATAACCAACTAGCTATAGGAGTTATAACTCATCCCATGGCCACAACTGTGAATGGCCAGGGCCATAACTGAGCCGTCATTGATTTCACCGGGAAACTGGTGGGCCACCTTGCGGGGACTTCCTGACACGAAAAATCTGCCGGGACGACTGTGCAGGAAGCATCGAACATGCTTTAATCATCAAACATCGGTTTATATAACGATCAGAAATTAGTGATACAATGGGAAATGTACAGTGATTTCCCATTTTATGGGACATTCATAGCTTGTTATTTTGGAGTTTCTATAAGACTGGTAGAAAATATATATTATGTTAAGAGAATGTTCTTGTGGTTTGTCAACATATTGATCTACCAGATAGCCCATCAATGTCTTATCACCCAATAATCACTGTCAAAATAAAAAAGGACCCAGTCTCATCCCCTCAAATGGCAGAGTCAAAAATTATTCTCACTTATCAGCACACCTAAACATGTTGATTTACCCGAGATCATGCCCATTAAATGGTTGCAACGCATGCCCCCATTTGTCTATCTTAAAATACCACCAGCATCAGCACATTCAAAAATGAAAGGTCCTAAATACCATTTGAATGCTTAAATAAACATTGATGCGAAAATAAAAGTTGATAATTCACACTCAAACATACCAGTAGTACCGCACAAGGCGGTGGCGGAAGTTTCAAAAATAGGAAACCTATAGGAGAGCTTGGTTGTTGTGAATCCGGGATGGCAGAGCGAAGCCACTGATGGACTGAAAGGTGCTTGATCTCTCTCACTCTTTCTCTCTCTTTCTCTGACTATCTACCTACCTACCTATCTATTTTCTATGTATCTATCTATCTATCGATCTTTCTAGTGTAGTGTAATGTAGTGTAGTGTAATTTAGTGTAGCGGTGTGTAGTGGAGTGTAGTGGAGTGTAGTTGTGTAGTTCTGTAGTTGTAGTTGTAGTGTTGTGGAGTGTAGTGTAGTGTAATGTACTGTAGTGTGTGGAGTGTATAGTGTAGTGTAATGTAGTGTAGTGTAGTGTCGTGGAGTGTGTAGTGTAGTGTAATGTAGTGTAGTGTAGTGGAGTATAGTGTAATGTGGCGTAGTGTATTGTAATTTAATGTAGTGGAGTGTAGTGGAGTGTAGTTGTGTAGTTCTGTAGTTGTAGTTGTAGTGTTGTGGAGTGTAGTGTAGTGTAAAGTACTGTAGTGTAGTGGAGTGTATAGTGTGTGTGTAATGACCCGAAGCGAAGCGAAGCGACATCTGAACCTCCAAAAGTGGTCCGAACCCCTTGTGCTTTGTACATTTTGACTTCGAAATGTGCTTCGCGCCACAACGGCGTGCACTTTTTCGAGATCTGAACCTCCAAAAGTGGCGCGAACATGTGGTGTTTTGTACATTTTGACTTCGAAATGTGCTTTGCGCCACAACGGCGTGCACTTTTTCGACATCTCAACTTCCAAAATGGTCCGAGAATGGTGTGTTTTGTACATGTTGACTTGGAAATGTGCTTCGCGCCACAATGGCGTGCACTTTTTCGACATCTCAACTTCCAAAAGTGGTCCGAGAATGGTGTGTTTTGACATTTTGACTTGGAAATGTGCTTCGCGCCACAAAGGCGTGCACTTTCTCGACATCTCAACTTCCAAAAGTGGTCCGAGAATGGTGTGTTTTGTACATTTTGACTTGGAAATGTGCTTCGCGCCACGACGGCGTGCACTTTCTCGACATCTCAACTTCCAAAAGTGGTCCGATGCTGGTGTGTTTTGTACATTTTGACTTGGAAATGTGCTTCGCACCACAACGGCGTGCAACTTTTCATCTCTCATCTCCCCAGATGTCTCCGCACCCGCCGCTTTAGCGAGCCTACTTTTCAACCCTCCGGAGCCTTTTCGCGCACCTGCATCTTCTTTCTTCTGATCTTTTCTCTTCTGACTCTTCTCCCTGCTGACTGCTTTTTCATCTCTCCATATTGTCGGAAGTTTGACTTCCAAACTTCCTTCGATCACTATATTGTCAAGTTGGTTCCGTCATGATATTATATCATCTGAAACATATCTCCCACTATATTCATAAGTCAGTCGAATTCACTATCTTCAGGTACTTTGGCAACCCGTCAAACTATAGACATAATATATATATATATATATATCTTATATAAACTCTAGTTATGGTAGTATAATATAGTATAATTAGTCAGTCTGAGTCAGGTAATTTGACAAACATCAACTTCCCATGTTGATCCATTTTGCCGCCAGGAGTCGCAAGCGAAATGCCAGCGGGGAATCACCTGGCGAAGCATGTGGAATCCATGTAAGAAACAAAGATGTGAGCAGGCGAAGGTGGTATAATCAGTATAATTAATCACTACTATACATGGTGTTTAACCAGCAAAGATATATGGTGGTTAACTACTAAAATAGGATGTTGAACTAGAACAAACATAGGGTTTGATAACGGACATATGGTTTCTAACCAAACAAAATACGATAGAAATTACACATCATGTAGATGGCCGTAATAGATGTTCCCTTAAGCCAACTAATTAAGAGAACAATCTGTAGCCAGTTCAAGTTCATGACTACCTAAAGCGCAGGATCATCCCAATTTTGCTGGCCAAAATCCCAAATTCATTGCTGAAACGAAACTCTTTCGATGCGAAACTCACCCAATCATTCGGGCAAAAATCACGTAAAAGCATGTCAAAACTTCAAAACCAACATTTTACTTTGCTTTTAAAACCAATAAAATCACAATCCAAATCCCAATAAATCCCATAAAATCCAATGTAAAACATTGTAAAACCAACAATCCTTGTGTTTGCAGATTTTCCACAAAATCTTCACCTCAGCTTCCCATGTCACCGCAGCTTCCCTACCGCTGGACAAGCACCTCGCAGCCACGAGGCAAAGTTCACCAGCCGCGTGGCGGTCAAGGCCTCCTGGCCCAACTGCCAGCGCAGCTCCTCCGGAAACAGATGAATTCGAATCCTGGTTGGTGGTTTTAACCATCTTGAAAACTATGAGTTCGTCAATGGGAAGGATGACATCCCACATATGAAATGGCAAATAAAAAATGTTCCAAACCACCAACCAGGAGTCATTGGGCCAGCTGATTGGGAAATTAAGAATGAACATGGAATGATAACTATGGGGAAAGAGATTGATTCCAGTTAGATAATGAATCATACCAGATAGTTATCTCCGGAAACAGTAATTCATTGAGAACATATGGGATAATGATAATTATGGGATAATCATAAGAAGTAATATATGCAGTAATTATACGATATATCCCATGATATACAACCCAACGGGATAATTTATCGGTTTCCCAGGATACTCATATGGGATAATATAAAATACTATATACAGTAACAATGGGATAATGGCAACTAATCATGGATCATGTTTTTGGGATGAAACATGGATATAATATCTCCCTAACAATCCTAAACACTGGATGATTACTGTAACAATATGTAATAACCGGTATATAATTGATTGATTGATTGATGGATATAATGAAACTTAATGAAACCTTGAGATAATGATAATGAATATTGGGGTAATCATGGGGCAATAATGCTATAATAGTGAAATATATCCTTAGTAATATTCAATGGATACGCTAATGGTAAAATTAACATGACATAAATAGTGGTAACACACATGTAAACACATGATAAATGGTAAATCTACTGGTATAGTAATCAAACAAATATGGATCTAGTGATATAATAAAGCCTTGGGATTTTGATAATTGGGCTAATAATAACTAATTGATACTTAATTGAGAAGGAATACAGTTTATCAACTGATTTTCTATAGTATCTCCCTAATCGTAACAACTCATGGATTATTCATCTATATATATAATTTCAGATATCTATTGATAATTTGATATCAATATGTGGATTAGTGATGATTAGTGTATCCATTGGGATGATGACAACGAATACGCCTCAGACGCCTTAGCTTTGCCCGGACTCCCCTCCTAAGCATCCGGGCAAACCTGGATGATGATGATGAAAAACCTCGGGGCCTGTGTGCTGGTTAGTGGATAATCCCATTGATACCAAAAGACTAAAGGAATCTAAAGGATTAGTTTCTACCATGCGAAAATTGACCTAGATAATAGTAACAACCAATGGATTATTATGATTATTCCCTGTATGATGTAAGAATATGTGATCGGATTTACATCATACCACAATGAATTCATTGGGCTCATTTTTTGGGGGGTCGCCTTCTTCTTCACAAATCCCACCGGGACTTTGCAGTACGTCCTCTCTCTCCGCACTGGTCAGGTCAAAGCCTGCGGGATTTTGACTTGGGGACGCTCCCAACGGCCCTGAACGACGGGGACAAGGAGGGTCTTTGTGTCACAGTTATGGCCATGGCTATTAGTGATTAATGGCGATCATTGGTGATTATTAGTGGTTAATAGTGGTTAAGAGTGGCTAAACATGTGATTGATTATGGTTACAACTGGTGATTTCAGTTGGAAGAAGTACATTCCATTTTTATAGGGTTAGTTCAGTACAAACTTAACTGGTATTTCGGGCCACAACTGTAGCCATTTCAGGTATCTAAGTTGGAGGTACCTACCATACACAAGGCCTATGAAAGGGCTATGTAAGGGCATATGCCACAAAAACATTGCCATATATGCTGCAATTCCTGCATTTTTGGGTCCTGAAAGTCCCGTTGATTTAGAGACACAATTAGAGGATGCCAGAAGTAAAATGGCTAATTCTATGCGTCTTGTGGCTATCATGTCCTTATGATGGGCCTGAAAACACATGATTCGACAACCAAACAGAAACGAACATCCAACCACCAGAATTAGGGACCGGTTTCGGATCCACCCCCCATTCTCCCCAAGTTGAAACTTCTGCCGCACACCTCCTGACTGCAGTTGTCGAAGAAGCCGCTGGAATTTCCTGAGCCAAGGCTGGTCCAGGTGAGTGAGACATCCCGCTGTGATAAATGGCTTCCAAACATGGGTATGTACGAGGTGCTGCCCCCGTAGGAAGGCCATAGGAAAACCATAGGAAAACCATAGGACAACAGTAGGATAATGGTGATTCGACCAAGGAAAATGCGGATTTCCATGGGGGTTTATAGCTGATTTATGATAGCTAAGTTAATGCCAGTCAATCCAATAACTTGGGTTTATAGGGTGTATATCTATGAGCCATCCAAAAAATATTGATCCCAGATTGGCTTATTACCCTCTCAAGAGTTTACAGTTCGTTGTTGAACATATGATCATATATGATCTACTTATTCTTGCACAATGAGAATACCAACCATCACGAACCAAAAAGAGGGGGATATGCTTATATGCGTCCAATGTGGAAGATGTCCGTTTGAGCAGTATTCAAAATCCCTCTCATTGTACTGGTTGGCTAATAGGGATTCCCCTATTGGATTAATTCTACTTCGCATACCAAGTATAATCCCGGTAATCATCCTCCAAGCACGGTTTTGAACACTGCTCATTTGTAGATGCCCTCTGTTGATCTTACTGCTTAGTAGGGAATGAGGGAATGATCCATTATCACTAGTAATAATCAACCCATTCCCCCATTCCCATCCATTCCCTACTAAGCACCAGTAAGTGATTTACCTTTTAAGTTGGTTAAGACCCAGAGGGGATTCGGTTCCGTCCTCTTTTTTCCTGAGATATCATGAGGTATCGATATCTATAGAAATGATGATGATTAGTAGTTGTATTTTTCTATTACCACTACTACTACCACTACCACTACCACTACCACTACTACTACTACTGCTACTACTACTACTACTCCTACTGCTACTACTACTACTGCTACTACTACTACTGCTACTACTACTAATACTAATACGAATACTAATGCTAATACTACTACTCTACTACTACTCTACTACTACTACGACTACGGCTACGACTGCTACTACTGTGTTTTTATAACTACCATTACTGTTGTTTTATAACTGTTGTTTGGGGGTGATAACTATAGATCCTCGCATTGACGCCGCCAACGCTGACGCCGCCGAACTCGTCTCGTCCCAGTGTCTCATCATCCACAGGGATGCCGTGGCGGAGCCCCGCTTCCGTGAGAAAGTCCTACGACGGCGCAACGGAACGCGTCCAAAGGGATGGAGATGGGATCAGCCGTGGCTATAGTATATCTATATAATCAGTTATTATATATATATATGTATTCAGTAAAATCAATATATGTATATACTATCTACTCTATACATATGATAGTAGCAATACTGGTAAAATAGCTTATAATGACAGACTATTGATGGGATATTCATGGGATGTTGATCAACGGGATATTAATGTGGTAGTAAATAAATAATGAGATGCTGATGGAATAATGGGATACTAATTTCATATCAATGGAATATTATAAGATTGATATTAAATGGAAAACAGAGGCCCCAACTGTTAAACCTGGGAAATACATGACGTACATATAATCCACCTACCATCCTGGAAACACTTTTCGGCATCTTTTTGAGGATGGCTATAGTCATGAAATAGCTGTAGTACCTACCCTCTGGTAATGAAACATGGCAAGTGAAAATCCCCGAAGTAAATTAATGGTGGTTTTTAGACATGATGGATTTGATTACCAGAGGGTAGGTAGCAAGAGCTACCCTCCGGCAATTTGCACCACTTTGCGAACTGGAAGCCGTGGCCCGTTTAGTGAGAACAGGTTTTCCGGATGATGTACATATTCACAATGGTGATTTCCCATATCCTATAAGAAACTAGGATGTGGTTAATATGGTTAATATATGGTTAATATATGGTTAATATATGGTTAATATATGGTTATGCTCACTATTGCTACGAAACTATTATCCCAGACTTGGTTGCAGGATAATAATGTAATAATAAAAACTCTGCCGGCATTGTATTTTTCATATACTGTATTTGATGTATGTTTCTACGTCTGAACCTTTTGTGGATGTTGGCTTCGTCTTTCAATGATGGCGATCATGGAGCATATGGGACCAAACAGATGTCTTGTTGAAGTACGCTATGGTTTGGAAACTGGAACATCTCCACTCTTCAAAGGCAAATATCGGCAAAATTCTCCATCAATGAACCATTTTCCAAAGCGAATATGTGAAATTACAGGAGGGTCCATGTGTGTTTTTGCATGTTTTTGCCCTTCAAAACAGCCAAACAGCTCGTGTGCAAATATTTAGGCGCCGTCGCCTCTGACCAACAATGGAAATCCTTATCATAGGTGCATATGTAAATATATATATATATATATATATATGTGTATGTATATATATGTATATATATATGTGTGTGTTGTATTATATTATATTAAATCATATTATATTATATTATATTATGAAATATAATATAATATTATATTATATTGAATTATATTATATTATAGTATGTTATATTTTATTAAATTATGGAATGATGACCATCCCCAATATGTGGAAAGGTCCATTGCTTTGGTCATGGCACAAAGGGGAACAGTAAGACCTTAATACAAAAACACATGGGAACAAAGCTGCCCCAAGTCATCGAATTGACATCTGCTGATACATTGTGGATGAGTTTCAAAAAAAAATGGTTCTGTGGAAAACCCAGCAATGTCAGCACTAAACAAAACCAATGAAAGTTGATATTTCTCAATATAGAACCCAAAACTCCGTGCGTTTCCCCCCGGGAACCTAAGAAACCCTCATATCATCCCATGATTTTCTTTGGGTTTCAACCATCCTTTAAGGGTTGCCGCTGCCAACTCACAGGCCTTAACAGTCATCATGCAGATTGGGGACAGGACCTCGGCCATGACATCACAAGGTGGGCCCTATCCCATCCCACGAAATACTGGTAGGTTTATGTAAAAATCCCTATGGTTTATTGTAATTATGGTGTACCTATCAACTATGGTACTTTTAATGGTTTATAACTTGGTGAACTATTGGGTTTCTGGTAGGTATAACTAATAACTAAAGTATTCATAGGGTTTTATACACCGACCTTTGACATGGAAACCCCACATCTTTAAGATTCCCCCCCAAAAATAAAACATGATGGAATGTGGAAGGTACTAGAATCTCAATTAGCCTGTCTTTGATGGAAACTAGCCCCGCAGAATAAAATGGAACCAACTATTGGCCAGTAAGACCTCGAACATTTGCAATTTTTACTGGAAAGTTATCTTCCAACCACCAAGTCATAGCAGGGCCTATGGCCTATGCTAATTTGGGAAAGGGTATAGATAATATATACATACATATCCCTACTGTGGATGGAGGAAATCCTGCACCAGTTGATAGATGGTTTATCCCATGATTTTTAGGGTTTCAACCATCCAAGGTGGTGCAGGATTTCTTCCATCCATCAGTGCCTTGTTTCAACTGTCCTACTTGTTGTTTTTGTTGTTGTTTCTACTTCTGATAGCATGTATCACATAGACCCGGGCAAGCCGGCGGCGGAAGTTTCCCAAACATAAATGACCTATAGTTCAAAGACAACCTGTCCCGACCGTGTCCTTCCCTCGACACTCCACACCTCACACTGCACACTGCACTCTTCGCACTCCAAACTTCAAACTTCACACTCCACACTCCACACTTCTCACTTCTCACTGCTTCCTTCACACTCCAAACCTCACACTTCACACTTCACACTGCACACTTCACACTTCACAGTCCACACTTCACACTTCACACTTCACAGTCCACACTTCACACTTCACACTTCACAGTCCACACTTCTCACTTCGCACTTCACACTCCACACTTCACAGTCCACACTTCACACTTCTCACTTCACACTTCTCACTTCTCACTGCTTCCTTCACACTTCTCACTTCGCACTTCACACTCCACACTTCACAGTCCACACTTCACACTTCTCACTTCACACTTCTCACTTCTCACTGCTTCCTTCACACTCCAAACTTCACACTTCTCACTTCGCACTTCACACTCCACACTTCACAGTCCACACTTCACACTTCTCACTTCTCACTGCCTCCTTCCCACTCCAAACTTCACACTCCAAACTTCACACTTCACACTTCTCACTTCGCACTTCACACCCCACACTTCACTCACACTTCACACTTCACAGTCCACACTTCACACTTCTCACTGCTTCCTTCAAACTCCAAACCTCACACTTCACACTTCACACTTCACGCTGCGCTCTTCGCACTCCACACTTCACAGTCCACACTTCACACTTCTCACTTCACACTTCTCACTGCTTCCTTCACACTCCAAACTTCACACTTCTCACTCCACACTTCACAGTCCACACTTCACACTTCTCACTTCTCACTGCTGCCTTCACACTCCAAACCTCACACTTCACACTTCACACTCACTCTTCGCACTCCAAACTTAAACTTCACACTCCACACTTCACACTTCTCACTTCTCACTGCTTCCTTCACACTCCAAACCTCACACTTCACACTTCACACTTCACACTGCGCTCTTCGCACTCCAAACTGAAACTTCACACTCCACACTTCACACTTCACACTCACAGTCCACACTTCACACTTCTCACTTCTCACTGCTTCCTTCACACTCCAAACCTCAAACTTCACACTTCACACTGCGCTCTTCGCACTCCAAACTGAAACTTCACACTCCACATTTCACACTTCTCACTTCCCACTGCTTCCTTCACACTTCACACTTCACACTGCACTCTTCACGCCCCACACTTCACACTGCTCTAAACGTACGTCCAACAAAAAAACACTAGTGCCAAAATGGAGAAAATCTGCTAACAAACCCATTTCGCAGCCTTCATGCAGCCACTCCAAGACGATTTCCGAGATCCAGCTGCAAAAGACAATAGTATTACGAATGCAGCCACAGCACGAAGCAACCTTGACGCAGCCATTACAATAAGATCTGCAGAGACTGAGTTGCAAAACACAATAGAACTACGCGCAACGGCGTCGGAAATTGTAGCTCCAAAACCGGATCTCGACGCCAGAGCGAAAAAAAGACGATTTTGAAGCACTTTTTAAAAGGATTTTTAGAAGGAAAATCACTGGCGCCAAAATGGAGAAAATCTGCTAACAAATCACTGTCGCAGCCTTCATGCAGCCACTCCAATAGGATTTACGAGTTCCAGCTGCAAAAGACAATAGTATTACCAATGCAGCCACAGCACGAAGCAACCTTGACGCAGCCATTACAATGCGATCTGCAGAGACTGAGTTGCAAAGCACAATAGAACTACGCGCAACGGCGTCGGAAATTGTAGCTCCAAAACCGGATGGATCTCGACGCCAGAGCGAAAAAAAGACGATTTTGAAGCACTTTTTAAAAGGATTTTTAGAAGGAAAATCATTGGCGCCAAAATGGAGAAAATCTGCTAACAAATCACTGTCGCAGCCTTCATGCAGCCACTCCAAAAGGATTTACGAGATCCAGCTGCAAAAGACAATAGTATTACCAATGCAGCCACAGCACGAAGCAACCTTGACCCAGCCATTTACACTGCGGGAACGATCCTACAGTTGCAAAGCACAATGGACTTCCATCGGCAACTCCTCCACCAGCACCACTTGCAATCCCATTTACAGTGAGGGAACGATCCTAGAGTTGCAAATCACAATGGAATTCCATCAGCAACTCATCCACCAGCACCCCTTGCAACCCCATTTACAATGCGGGAACGATCCTACAGTTGCAAATCACAATGGAATTCTGTCGACCACACATGCACGAAAAACAGTTGAAACCCCATTTACAATGCGGAACCGATCCGACCATGATCCGAGAATATCCGCCCATGATCCGACCACACACGAGACCGTCTCGCAACCGTCGCACCGCAGAGGTAGATCATCGAGGTTCGGGGACGGACTTTGTACGGCAAAACATAGGCTTTCGTGCATCTGCTATCTCTCAAAAACGCATTTCGTGCGAGACTTCCTTCAAAACTCCATCGGCAACTCCTCCACCAGCACCACTTGCAACCCCATTTACAGTGAGGGAACGATCCTAGAGTTGCAAATCACAATGGAACATCGGCAACTCATCCACCAGCACCACTTGCAATCCCATTTACATTGCGGGAACGATCCTACAGTTGCAAATCACAATGGAATTCTGTCGACCACACATGCACGAAAAACAGTTGAAACCCCATTTACAATGCGGAACCGATCCGAGAATGATCCGAGCATGATCTGAGGATGATCCGACCACACACGAGACCGTCTCGCACCCGTCGCACAGCAGAGGTAGATCATCGACGTTCGGGGACGCACTTTGTATGGAAAAACATAGGCTTTCGTGCATCTGCTATCTCTCAAAAACGCATTTCGTGCGAGACTTCCTTCAAAACTCCATCGGCAACTCCTCCACCACTTGCAACCCCATTTACAGTGAGGGAACGATCCTAGAGTTGCAAATCACAATGGGAATTCCATCGGCAACTCATTCACCAGCACCACTTGCAATCCCATTTACATTTCGGGAACGATCCTACCAGGAAGGATCAATCAGCATCATAGGAGGCACCGGCATCATATGATAGTATGCATCCACCCACCCACACCCAACTGGCACCGGCAACATATATGATGCTGGTGCCACTGACCCAGCTTAACAACTGGCACCGGCAACATTATGATGCTGCTGACAGCATGCTTCTCAGGCATGGTATATGATATGACCTGCTCATCATGCCAGCTTTGCAAACATGGCCTCGCAAGAATTGCCAGGCTTGTTTGAGCTTTGGAAAAGCACTCATACACACACATATATATATATATATATATATTATAGGTATATATATACACATATATATATACACACATATATATATATAGTTGTATGTGTTATGTATGTTCCTGTTGAACTTATGTGTGCTAGCATTTGGGGTGTTATGGCTTCATTATACGTAACACAGGATTCTGTTTTTATTGATGCATTATACGGGTCTGTTTAAACATGGAACACCGATGGCTTCTAAATGGGAAACTTTATTGGTACACCTCATTTTCCGGTAATCCCCCATACTTGATATGTTCCATATTAACCCCAAAAGTAACCCATATAGAAGCCCTATATACTGATCGGTTGGGTACAAATCCCAAAACTGTTAGTTGGAAAACACCAGTGTCAACAGTTGCACTAGCCAGTTCTGGCCATTTTTTCCACCAGCAAGTCATCGATCAATCAATCGGGATCTCTCAGTCCTGCGCGCTGTACTGGCTCGATGGAGGTTTTTTTTTCCGGGGGTATAAGCCATGGAAATAGATGGGGCGGCCTTGCTAGCAAAGGGTGCCTACATTGCGGATGCCCTCTATAGGCATTGTTTTCTCCCAGATGAAGGGGTACGTATGAGGAGAACTGCGTCCGTTAGCCCCGGAACCTCTTTGAAACATAGTGCAGCCCGAAAAGCTTTTCAGTGGGCAGCTGATGTTGGTGGTGGCAAAAAAATTTTTACTTTGGCTGCATGCCGAAAAGGGGTTCAGTTACTGTTGAAGAAACCTGACGTGGTGGTGCCGTTTGTGGGTTTACCCCAAAATCTTTGGGTGGAGTCACAAGCTAAAATGGTGATGAAATTGGCTCAGAGGGCCCGAAAAAATAGTGGAGCCAGCCTGCGCTTCTGGGCTTACCACCAGTCAAAGCTCATGGATTGGGAGGACACTCTGCCCGTTGAGGCCGGGCTGTCGTTCCAGCTCTGTGAGTTTTTTCGGATTTGGCTTTTGAAATCCATTTGCGTGAATCCGTTTGATTTTTTTCGCATTTCCTGTTCAGCTTCTCCCCAATACAGGAGCTCACCCCCATCATGGGC